TGCCAATTAGAATAGTAAGTTTGAAGTTCCTGCAATCCCACCTAATATTATTATTATTATTTTATTATTTATATCGTGCCATCAGATTCCGTAGCGCTGTACAATGGGAATCTTATCTGTCTAAAACTGTACATTTATCAATTCCCCATATGTTTCTCGGACATTGAATTCCTGAACTGTCACAAGCGCACACCTAATGAGTCTTTCAAACTTCAAACGATGAATTTGCATTGCTATCTCCATGTCTGTGTGCTTCCAAATACCTCCCTCCCGCTATTAGATTTTGCTTGATGGACAAACAAGTAGTAAATAGAGTGAACACAGGACATATAACACAAGCAGTATTGCCTTTGGCGGGATGGGGGCATATTATAGCTCCCACTATTCTTTGGTGGCATCAGTGGCTATAGTATTCATTAGACCAACTATAAATAATACAAAAAGTTACAAATTTTCATGGGGGAGTTTCAGATAAAGCCTTATACAGGGAGTGCAGAATTATTAGGCAAGTTGTATTTTTGAGGATTAATTTTATTATTGAACAACAACCATGTTCTCAATGAACCCAAAAAACTCATTAATATCAAAGCTGAATATTTTTGGAAGTAGTTTTTAGTTTGTTTTTAGTTATAGCTATGTTAGGGGATATCTGTGTGTGCAGGTGACTATTACTGTGCATAATTATTAGGCAACTTAACAAAAAACAAATATATACCCATTCCAATTATTTATTATTACCAGTGAAACCAATATAACATCTCAACATTCACAAATATACATTTCTGACATTCAAAAACAAAACAAAAACAAATCAGTGACCAATATAGCTACCTTTCTTTGCAAGGACACTCAAAAGCCTGCCATCCATGGATTCTGTCAATGTTTTGATCTGTTCACCATCAACATTGCGTGCAGCAGCAACCACAGCCTCCCAGACACTGTTCAGAGAGGTGTACTGTTTTCCCTCCTTGTAAATCTCACATTTGATGATGGACCACAGGTTCTCAATGGGGTTCAGATCAGTGAACAAGGAGGCCATGTCATTAGATTTTCTTCTTTTATACCCTTTCTTGCCAGCCACGCTGTGGAGTACTTGGACGCGTGTGATGGAGCATTGTACTGCATGAAAATCATGTTTTTCTTGAAGGATGCAGACTTCTTCCTGTACCACTGCTTGAAGAAGGTGTCTTCCAGGAACTGGTAGTAGGACTGGGAGTTGAGCTTGACTCCATCCTCAACCCGAAAAGGCCCCACAAGCTCATCTTTGATGATACCAGCCCAAACCAGTACTCCACCTCCACCTTGCTGGCGTCTGAGTCGGACTGGAGCTCTATGCCCTTTACCAATCCAGCCACGGGCCCATCCAGGGCCGTCTTTAATAACGCATGGACCCTGGGCAAGTGTTTGCTTGGGCCCCCTGTGCCCTGCCGCTCTCGCCCCTCCCTGGTATGCAATCACGGCATCCATCCCAATGCAGTGGCGGTACTAAAGTAGAATGAATTTTATTGGGACCCCCAATTGCAAGGTTGGACTAAAGGTAGAATCCCATCTGTCGTGCAACTCCAACAATGCTTTGACAGCTGGGACTCTACCAATTTCCCATGCTTGCAGGGTTGTATTTAGCACTGAGCCATGTTAGTATGTTTGAATGTAAGCATGTGTTTGTATGTAGTATGTTTGTGTGAATGTGTTTGTATGTGGTACTGGAGTTTGAATGCAAGTGTGCATTTATGTGTAGTGTTTGTTTTTGAATGTAGGAGTGTGCTTGTATGTAGTGTTGACGTTTCAATGCAGGAGTGTGTTTTATATGTAGTGTTGAAGTTTACATGGAGGGGTGTATTTGTATTTAAAGTTGCGGCTCAGATGCACAGGTACACACTCTGACGCACAAGCAGATACACAGATACATACACTGACTACATACAGATAAACAGGCACATACACTGACAGACACACTGACATAGGTACATATATTGACACACACACAGACACATACACTGGTAGACGTACTGACAGACATACTGACACAGGCACATATACAGACATACTGACACACAGACACATATACCGACATACTGACACACACACACAGACACATACACTGATCAACATACTGACACACATACACTGACAGAAATACTGACACCCACACACACTGACATATACTGACACCCACACACAGGCACATACACACAGACATACTGGCACACAGACAGATATACTGACACATGCATACACATGCACTGACAGACATACTGACACATACACATATACACACACATATATACTGACACACAGACAGACAGACAGACACACAGACAGACAGACACACACACACACATACACTGACACACACACATACACTGACACACACACATACACTGACACACATACACTAACACACACACACACTAACACACACACACACACTAACACACACATACACGTTTTTTTTTTATGTAATCCCCCCAGCCTCCTTACCTTTTGGAGTGCTGGGGGGATTCCCTGGGGTCCAGTGGCCCTGCTGGGCTCCTGGGCGGGCAGTCTGGGTGGCCGGCCGGCCGGTCTGGCAGGCGGGCGCGCGAGGGAGCACTCAGTGCTTCCTCTCCAGCTCCCTCGCGCGCTGCGTAGGGATGCCGGCGCCGGAAGATGATGTCATCTTCCGGCTCCGGCATCAGTGCGGTGCGCGAGGGAGCTGAAGAGGAAGCACTGAGTGCTCCCTCGCGCGCCCGCCTGCCAGACCGGCCGGCCGGCCACCCGCCCGCCGGGGTCAGCGGGGCCCACGGGGCAGGTGCCTCGGGCCCCCCAAGAGAAACTGGGCCCGGGGCAGCTGCCCCGTTTGCCCCGCGTTAAAGACGGCCCTGGGCCCATCCATCTGGCCCATCAAGACTCACTCTCATTTCATCAGTCCATAAAACCTTAGAAAAATCAGTCTTGAGATATTTCTTGGCCCAGTCTTGACGTTTCAGCTTGTGTGTCTTGTTCAGTGGTGGTCGTCTTTCAGCCTTTCTTACCTTGGCCATGTCTCTGAGTATTGCACACCTTGTACTTTTGGGCACTCCAGTGATGTTGCAGCTCTGAAATATGGCCAAACTGGTGGCAAGTGGCATCGTGGCAGCTGCACGCTTGACTTTTCTCAGTTCATGGGCAGTTATTTTGCGCCTTGGTTTTTCCACACGCTTCTTGCGACCCTGTTGACTATTTTGAATGAAACGCTTGATTGTTCGATGATCACGCTTCAGAAGCTTTGCAATTTTAAGAGTGCTGCATCCCTCTGCAAGATATCTCACTATTTTTGACTTTTCTGAGCCTGTCAAGTCCTTCTTTTGACCCATTTTGCCAAAGGAAAGGAAGTTGCCTAATAATTATGCACACCTGATATAGGGTGTTGATGTCATTAGACCACACCCCTTCTCATTACAGAGATGCACATCACCTAATATGCTTAATTGGTAGTAGGCTTTCGAGCCTATACAGCTTGGAGTAAGACAACATGCATAAAGAGGATGATGTGGTCAAAATACTAATTTGCCTAATAATTCTGCACTCCCTGTATGTGCCCGAGCATTCCATTTAATCCATACATTCACAGCACATGCCAAAGCCTTCCTGACAGTTTCATCCCCTCCATTGTTGGTTAAAATAGTGCTTCTGTAGATATAGAAAAAAAAAGAAGTGCAGGAGTTCACATTTTTTTTTCTGACAAATATGTCTTCCAGCTTTCACTGTCTTCCTTTCTATTTAAAACATAAAACAAATCTCCAAACCTGTGAATACGTATGTTTTCCCCTAGGTAATATTACTTATTTGTCTTATTTTTTTAATGTAAACAATGGTAAAACCATCAGGTGAAAAAAGGAACAAAAAAAAAAAAAAAAAACAATTAAAAGAAGAATAAAAGACAGTGTCCCTCCTCCCCCCTTCCCTCCCTCCACCCTTTTCCCCCAATTTCCCCCAATTTCCCCCAATTTCCCCCCCCTCTCCCTCCCCCTTCACTCTCTTCATCCCCCCCAAGCCTATTGCTCAGCTAGTGGGAGGTGAGGAGCAGTTATATCTGGGGGCAGATATATCTGGCAAAACCTGACAGCACATGTGAGACCATGCATAGGCTGAGAGAGTGTGTTAGTGGATGTCACTGGAAGAGAATCCGCTAGGTTTGCCAGACCCACAACGTTTTCCTGAACATGAATTGCTTTTAAGTGTGGGTGGGCTTTGCATGAAAAGTTCTGCCCTGCAGTATGCAGCATTCATGTGCTGCTGGAAGAAAATTGACTAACTAAAGCAGCTAGTAGACATGTGCTCAAATGCTTTTCATCTTTTAATCTGCGCATGAACAAATCAATTCATTACAGATTTCCATGTGGCGTCTTAAGATTGCATACATCCATCAACTTTGCTGGTTTCCTGATTAATCCAGTGACTTCATTATTAAGTAAAGTTACCCCTTGTATATTTCATTTTACATACTGCAGCATAAAACCATTTATTTACTGTGCATCAACAAGTAGATGTGCTTTTTGTCCAGTAAAACATGGCAGGTCTCAGACACATAGAACAGATTATGTTTAAATTCATTACAATTCAGTATTAAGTGGATACATCTCTTAATGAGTTCCCTCCATCAAATCTATACTGGCTCACAGAAGCACTATTCAAGAATGGACCCTGTACACACCCATACAGCATATTGTTTGTGCTGTTTATCTGTGTGTTTGGTGGAGTTGTTAGATTAACAGATATAATTGTAATATAAATAGAATTTACTGGAACTCCAGATTGTAGTTTTATTTGTTCCCAGCGCTCTTTAAATTAATTCTGTACCTGGTTAATCCTTTTTGAAAGGTGTGATTTCAGATGGACATTCAGAATTCTGTCTTTTGAAGTGGAATTCATTAATACAGACTGTAAGATTTCTAAAGACAACAGCTGTGTCTGCAGGTTTTACTCCTCCTGAGAGTTTGCTGGTGCATTAACATGTTAATTATTTCTCCCTTGTTCTCCTAACAGGGTGACAATTGATTATCAGATAAGCTAAGTGAAAGAGATTCATGGGATTCTGTTCCTAGGTAGCTCTCCAGGTTACCTGCCGTAAAACAGCCAGACTGCAATTAAAGTACAAACTTGCTAAGTAATGTAATCTACTTTTTGTAAATTAATCTCCAGAAATCCCCATTTGTCCACTAGCAGAGCAAGAAGCCAGACAAATGGTTAATTAAAATTAATTGGTAAAGTATATGAATGTAATAAATGTAAAAAAACAGATAACATTTGTATCTTGTAATACCTTTTTTTATTGGACTAACAGAATTGTTTAATGACAAGCTTTCGGGAGAACCTCCCTTTCTCAAGTCTGAAGCATTTATGCGCAAGACGACACATAGAATTTAAAGTTGAGTTATGATACAGGGGTTAAAGCGACATGAGTGCAGATAAGACACAGGTTTGATAGAAAATAGACACCATTCTCGCAGAGGGTCATAAATATCTTGTGTTAAGATCACAGAGTAAGGGGGGAGAGAGAGAAAACAAACAAACAAGCAAACGGTACAGAAGATGGTGCTAGAAGGGGAGGCACGAGAGGCATTAGCAGTTCTCGGCACTGGGTATTGGCAGCACTGGTTGACTGTCCATGGTGGATATCATCATGGTGTGCTTATACTCCATGATAGCACTTGCATTGCACGGACATGGGCTTCACCTTCCACAGCTCATATCTGCCAAAATTGGCATCTGATTCATAAAAGAGCCTAGGATTCTGTCTATACATTGTATTATCAGTTTTGCTAGCAAATGCATAGTTTGGGTGAAGAACATATTTTAAAAAATAGGTCTTTCCCCCACCTGTAAGTCAAAATTTTCAACATAGATTCTAATTGAAAATTTGACTGACAACTGAGAACATAAAAAAACGGCTACGCTGCTAACGCTGACTAGGGAGTATAGGAACAAAGTGACGTTAGTTCAGACGCTGGCATGCTGGCGAGAAAGCTGGCATGTTGACATCACAGGAAGTTTGAAGGTGAAGCATTCCCAAGAAGGGAAAATCAATCAAGAGAGCTGGATTAGATGGGCCGACCGGATCACATAAAGAGTAACACCCACAAAGACAAGGAAATGGTGGTGCTGGATCGGAGATATGATGAGTGATATCTGAATATTTTATTTTCAATACATTATGTATCTCTGTGATTTAGCCGAACTTTAAACCTGTGACAGGTTCACTTTAAAGAAATCAAGGATAAATCCCACAGACACTGTCTTAAAGAGTTACTTGTGGCACCATAACCACTACAATACCCTGTGGTAATTATGGTGCCAGGAGCAGTTCTGGAGCTGTTTGACTCTTAGCTGCATCCGGTGGTCGCCCACAGTTTAACCCGGTTTTCTGATATTTTTCCACATTGGTGACATGAATTTGATGCTCTCAACCAAGCAATTCCAAGAAACTGAAAATATATATTGTGGAAGTAAAATTTCAACATTAATTGTTTTAGAAGAGAGGGCATGTGCCAAACTGTTGGAAACCAAAGACGTCTCGACACCATAGACACTACAGCAGGCTATAGTGGTTATAGTGCCTTTAATTACTTGATTCCCTCCTCTAGCAATGATCGCTACATACAACTGGATAGGACTTGTCAAGTACTCCCATCAGCACGAAGAAGAAATGTATTTAAAAAACAAACCATGGTGGATCTCGCAGACCACGATCCCCTGAGTGTCCATATTAATTTGTCATTATAGCTTTTTCTCTTTTAGCATAGATATATTATGCATATTTGTTTATCGATAAAGTTTCAGATTTAATGGGTAAAACTACTCATGAAAGGTGACTTGAACCATAGGATACAGTTTGATTAGTCACTACTACATCTGGCTAATCGGTAGTTTTAAGATCTGGTTTGGAATGTAACCAGCTACCTCCTTCCCAGACTGGTTATACAAATCAGTCATGTGTACTAAAGAGATTTATGAAGACAAAAGTTGTCTTTGCAGATTTCACTTCCCTGTGCGATCTTTATAAGAAATGAACATGTCGATTATTTACCTTTTTTTTTTTTTCTTCATAAAAGGATGAGAACTGATTAGTTCCCAACCCCCAGCTGCAATTTCCTCCTAAAACAGGATAAGACAATGCTGCTCTGCTGCATTAACCCTGTCATGATAAAAGACATGCCAGGGCTGTCGTGGTATAAAAAGGTTTGTTTAACCCCTTTGTGACTGTGGACGTACTTTGTACGCCCCTTCACCTTACCACTTTATGACAATGGACATATGGAGTATGGCGTCTGTTTGAACCCTCCTACAAATCACAGGTCTCATTGATAACTGTGCGATATGAATATTGTCAGACTCCTCTAGTGAAGATGTCGAGATGTGGTACTCTACACAGCTATCGGATGCCATTTACCATGAGGATCATAGAGCGATAAGGCCAGTTTATGCCAACCAAGGGTTAGCTAGGGTTAGGAGTCAAAATTTGATGTGGGTCAATGTGATGACACATAGAAGGTGCTTGCCAGAGACACTATTTGATAAGGTGACACTTGTCAATTTTTTTTTATTTTTCTCTGTGACCTGGTAAGCCCTTCAAATATGGTGGGTATTGTTGTAGTGGCATACAAATATGTGATCTTTATAGTAGTGAGACATACATGGTCTATGAAATTCACCTAAAAAATGAAGTGTGTCAAACACAAAATACATATAGCCAGTAGTTTTTGCAGAGGTTGGTGATAAAATAGTTGATAGAAAAGTGTGAAAATCTTCTTAGTTAAATTCCTTGGGAGTGTCGTTTCTACAAATCTAACACTGTCATGGAGTAGTTTATATATTTTTTTGTTTTATTTTGTTTTTCTGATCATTATAAAACGTATATTTTTCTTTAGCTGCGCTAGTTTTGGAAGAAATTATTATAAGTAAAACAGGGATTTCCCCTCCTTATTATTTAATAGTTTATTCAACGCTAACATCTGCGTGTGCCTGGGTTGTAACTAGCCCCCAGCACACAAGCGCAAATAACTCTGGATGGACAGGCTTACAAGCAGAAACACTGCACATCAAGATTCCATCCTCCATGACCACTTCAAATAGCAGAAGTGGTCTGGGACATTGGACATTTATGTATGTTATTTTAGAGAAAATTTGCATTTCACTGATAAGTCCTTCAAGGAACACTCCAAGCACCATGACCACTACAGTGTGTGGTAGTGGTTATGGTGCCAAGAATCCTGTAGCACCCCCAACTGTAAGGAGCCAAATAAAACCAGGGATTTTTATACTGTCTTCATGCAGAGAGGGTTATATTTCCCCCTCCTCCCTTCACACACCCCCCCACCCCCCCAACCACCCACGCCGTTTAGACATGTTTGCTAGGTGCAACAGGTATATGTATATTGCGTAATATTTTATAAATCTATATCTAGAAAGAAAAATGTTTTCTTATCACATCACTATTCTATAAATTAAATAAAATCGTATTGTCAGCTTAGCTAAATCTGTCCATCAATGCATGACAATGACAGGCTGGGAACTAAGGGCTAACCCACCCTCTGCGTTCTCGGCCAGTCCACCTTATGGTGGCAATGAAAAAGATTAATATTTCACACATCTCCCAACTTTTTCAGGTTTGAAAACAAGTAAGGGACTGTGTGGGTTTGGACGTTTTATTAAAAGGCACTTTTTTATTGCAATTAAAACAAAACTGGGGGAAAAAAGTTTCACATGTAATAATTTATTCATACTTGCAGATACTGTACATAAATAAAGTAATAAATATAGAAGTAATCTGTGATTTATAAATAATAAATATCTATGGGTGTACTTAATTTAACAATAAATACATAAATACATATGCTTTTAGGGTTGTTCACTAAAAGCTAACATAATCTTAGATTCCGAAAATGCTTTAGTTTTTTCCATTTTCGCCACCATTTTGTGCTTTGGGTTTCAAGTCACTACAATTTGTTGTTTAGTGGATAGCCCTGCTAATAAAAGTATGAACGTTAACATGTTCTCTCCCAAGAATCCTGACAAAAGGTTTCGTGGCCTCCTCCTCCGCATCCAGCTCCTCCTTTAACCGGGAGGCTACCTCGACCAGTACCTGGAACCTTCTCTTCCTGTCCTCACAATGACAGGAGGGTGTTTCAGCTGCAGGAGTATAGCTTTGAACTTCAGGAGGATGGCTTTGAACTTCAGGAGGATGGCTTTGAACTTCAGGAGAGTGGCTTTGAACTTCAGCAGGATGGGTTTGAGCTTCAGCAGGATGGGTTTGAGCTTCAGCAGGATAGCTTTGAGCTTCAGCAGGATGGCTTTGAACTTCAGGAGGGCTCCTAACCTGCAGCCAAGCAGGAGTAGCCTGCGACACTGTAAATGGCTCAGGCAACGTAGCAGCAGTGCTGGTGGAAGGAAGGGCGTCAGCTGATGCTGTTACAGTGTGTGCAGGCATTAACTTTTTTTTGCCCCCTCTGAAGGTGGAGGGGAAGAGTCCTTTTTGCTTTAAAATGTTAGGCAAAGCCCTCCGCCTGGCGTTAATGAACCAGTCCTCTACCTGCAAACAGAGAGGATAAAGGGGTCAGTCATTGTAAATGTAAATATATATATATATATACCAAAACTTCCGTTATGTAACTAAAGATACTTCAAAGCCCTCCACATATCCAGTCAATATCTGTCCTAACGTTCTACAAACATTATCGTGCCTTATTTCTTTTTATTTTTGTAAATATTTGACAACATTGTGCATCTAATTTTTGGATGAACGTGGTTTGATGCTGAATGGAAATTATCCTCTGGAGCAGTTCAATTGCAAGCAGGGCAGAATATTATTGTCACATAATGGGAGAATCACACATGTAAACCCCTCTCTGCCAAGTCCTAATTTCATTGGTTTTCTTAGACATTTTCTATATAGTGATGTCGCGAACCGTCCGCGAAATTGCCGCGAACGGTTCGCCACGGTTCGCCACGAACCGTTCGTGGCGAACTCCGGTCAGCTGACACATCCCTGCCAATCTCCGGCAGACCCTCCCTCCCAGACCCTCCTATTTCCTGGACAGCATCCATTTTGAAAGCAGCTTCAACATGGATGCTGTCCAGGAGGTGGGAGGGTCTGGGAGGGAGGGTCTGCCGGAGATGGGCAGGGATGTGTCAGCTGACCGGAGTTCGCCACGAACCGCGGCGAACCGTTCGCGGCAAGTTCGCGACATCACTATTTCTATATACATGTCGAGCTTTGATTCTTGACACTGTGGTTCTTGTTGGACACATTTCCTATGATGCACTGCAAATGTAGATGAGCATTCTGGGAAAGACTGCAGTGCCAAAATAAAGCCTTGACTGGACCAGCTTATATTTTACAATATATACGAGTTTAATACAGATGGCACACAATGAGGTTATGTATAAAGATCAGTTCTGGAAGTATCGGTGTTCCATAGTGATTGGTCTACTATTAAATCTCTCACTGATTACTCTTCATATAGAAGGTTCAGGTTGTCTAAGGGCATCCCAGGTATAGAATGGGGTCAGGTTACATACCTGCTTACGTGTTAGACCTGTTTTTTCTATCATTTCTGCTTTTTCAATGTCCTTTGGGTATGGGTCTTCACAGTTATCCTCCAACCATTTATACATTATTGAAACTGCTATTTTTGGTAAGTGTTTGCAGTTCTCCGCAGTGCCTGGTTCGTTCCTGGCATTGCTTGTTCCTGCAGAATAGGGAGAGAGAATGGTTAGATTGGGAACAGAAACATAGTGATTTCTCCCCAGTGGCCGGCTTCACATTCTGTGCTCCCATAAAAAAAATTTCACAGCATTCCAATTCACAGCATTGTGCAGTGTATATAATGTCACAGAGCTCCAAAGATTATAAAACTCACTAGTGTGGTACATTCACTCAGATGTTCTCAGTTCTACTGCTTTGGCGTAGATCTTGCATTTCCTTTGTGAATTCCTTCAATCATTACAGGTAGTATCTTACCTTGTTCAGAAACATTGGGTTCCATGATAGTGTAGTATTGACGAGCAGGGAGCCAAAACCTGAATACCTGTGGACAGGTGAGGGAATGTGACAGTCTAACTAGTGAGAATACTTTGATGAATTTATTCCCTTTAGATTTGGGAGGGGTGGGGTAAAATTTGAAGCAAAGTCTATGATTGGTTAAGGAATCAGGTTGCTTGGTGGAGCAGTCTTAAATCTCTTTTAGTGAAAATTAGCATTTCACTGAGATGTCCTTTAATTGGATTAAAAAGGTGTAAACTGCATTATTTAAAATAAAACTGGACTGTTTAGCTGTGTCTCCATGCACAGAGGGGGGTTATCTTCCTGTCCTAGGCCTCTAACTAAAGATTGACATGTCTGCTAGGTGCAAATATATTTCTAGATTTAATTTGCAACAGGTCTATGTATGTAATAAACAAACCAATATCTTTAAAAAATATAAAATTATTATATCACGTGGCTATTGCATAAAATAAAATACCTGTAGACCCGCTCACACCCCCCATCCCGATAGCTTGGCAGAGCTTTCTATGGATATAGTGGGTGTGTGGCCAAGAAAGAGACATGCCGGTCAGTGTGAGTTTGTCTGATACACATATTGCCAGACATACTTCCATCTATACCCACATGCAGAGCACTGTGAGTTCACTCTGGCATTGAATTTATTCTATATAGTAAGTAATGGGCATACTAGATGGAGCATATGGCGTGAGTTAAACTGTAAGATCAACAGTTTGCAATCAGGTGTTGGCACAAGTGCCCACAGTCACCTATAGACCTTGCAACATCCAAATCTTTGTTATATCATTTTTATTTATTTATTTCCTTTTGTGAATTATCTCACTAGAGCCAAAGATTGTCTATACATTTCCTGACATGACTGGTCTCTCGGCCAGGACATGTTTTGTGCCACGGCCAACTTCATAATGGAAGATATTCTAAATGCCATATTTTATCTTTTAATCTGGACACTAATAGCAGAACACAGGGATACATTATAATCCTAATAACCCTGCAAAATGCATTCTTTAAAAGCATCCCACCTTAAAGTGCCAGCATAGACACTGAGCTTGTAAACCATTCTATTACTAGCTGTTTCATAGACTTGTAGAATTACATTCCTGGAAACACATTTACATTTTGTTAGTACTCTGTTGGACATCTAACCATATGTGGTTTGTTTGTGCAATCTCAATGACATTGACATTACAATTGTAGGTGCTGTGAGTTACAGTGTGTATTGTGTATATTGATTAGATAGTGCTGGTGTCACAACACAGACTCCTTCTTGTATTGTCCTGTAAATCCATTCTGGGAACATACAATGCATATTAAATGTCCTAAACTAGACTCACAGTGCTACAGGGTGCGTTCTGCTCTTTATTAGTAAATACCTTTATCACATATATCTCCCCCCTGCCAGGATTTAACTTGGAGGGATTATGGTGGTAAAATTGAAATGTAACCCTTTTCTCAACCATCCCATGTCATTCTGTCTGTGTCCTTGTTACTTCCTGGAATAAAAAAAAAAATAATAATAATAATTTACACAGACTTGTAGAATATAGTAATTTTTTTTAATTATACTTTTATAATAACCCTTTAAGCAATCTGGTTTTCTTTCATTGCCTGGTTATACCTTAATCAAATAATAAACATGTCTGCTTTTTAAAGAGGACATTGTTATTACAGCACTGTTAGATACTATTTGGTATTTAAAGGGGTTCTATAGTGCCAGGAAAACAAAGCCGTTCTCCTGGCACTATAGAATCCTACAGTGCCCCGCCCCCCCGTGAGCACCCTCCCGTGGCGCTGAAAGGGTTAAAACCCCTTCAGTCACTTACCTAAATCCAGCGTCGATGGCCCTCAGTGCTGGGTCAGGCTCCACCCACGCTCCTACCCCGCCGTCAGATGGGAGTGGAGACCTAAGGCGCATGCGTGGCAATGGCTGCGTGCTCATTAGACCTTCCTATAGGAAAGCATTGAATCAATGCTTTCCTGTGGGTAAAAATCTGACACTGGAGGTTCTCAAAGTGAGACAGTCCAAAGGTCAGTTTCAATACAGGATGCCCTCTAGTGACTGTCTAGTAGACAGCTACTGTGGGCAGACTTAGAGCTGCAATTTAAACATTGCAGTTCTCTGGAACTAGAAATGTTTTACAGTGCAGCACTAAATGCAAAAGGGACGCAACACCCAAACCACTTCAGTGAGCTGAAATGGTCTGGGTGCCTACAGTGTTCCTTTTAAATCGTCCAGGTCTATACATTTTTAAATTGCAATGTTACTGAGATTACAGAATTAGGGTTTTTCATCATTAAATAGGCTTGAGGGTTAAAGGGATACTATAATGCTAGAAATACAAACCTATATTCCTAGCACTATACTACCCTTATTACATACCTCATCTCCCCTCTTGCCCCCTTCTTGCACCATAAGGGTTAATATTTAATGTTTTCTTTTTTGCTAAACTTAGTTTTATGGTACATATACACATTTACACACACGCGCATATATATATATATATATATATATATATATATACACCAAAAACTCAATTTAGCAAAAGAGAAAACATTACACTCTGCTAATATATATATATATATATATATACATATATATATATATATAAATTCAGGGGTGTTTTTCTATGTAATGCTTGTGTTTGCATGTTGTGTTGGTGTTTGATTTCTGAGATGTATGAACATACACTGCCACATACATACACAGATAAACATACACATAAACACTCTGACACACACTGACACACAGATACACACACTGGCACATACACACAAACTCAGATACACAAAATGACACATGCATACACCTGTGACACTGACACACAGACACACACAGTGACACATACACAGACATTGACACACAGAGACACACACACACACTGACAGATGCACACAGGTCATGATTTTTATATTTACAGCCATCCTTCTCTTAGCATACAACTAACAACCTAACACTTGTGATGTAAATCCCCCATACATTCCCAAGAGTTTACTACCGGTAGACCATTAGACCAAGGGGTTCTAGCTATCTTAGAATTGAAAATAAAAAAAATAATGTAGCAATATATATATATGTGTACAGGAGACCTCTAATGGACGATTTGTATTACTGCGCACACTTCACTTTATTTATGTCACTACAGGTGACTTGCTATTACTAAAGAGTGACCCCTAGTGGTCCATTATGCTAACTTTGACTCGGTGTGGTTTTCCGCAAAAAAGTGCAAAAGAAGCCTAATTTTCCTGCAGAAATTGCAAAAGAGTATTTACTGCTTTACATTAGGATATTGTGTAATATTTGTTTTTTCTTCAGTAATATTAATTATGTATATAGATGGATTTTTTTATTTTCTATCTCAGTAGCAACAATGCTATATTTTACTGAAAAAAAACCCCCAAAAAAACCTACTGACTGCTTTATAGTGAAGCCTTTTTTCTCTAACTACGTACCAAAGTGGTAAAATCCCACTAGGGATTACAGTCTAAACAGTTTTTCGAAAACTTGGTATATGAAACGCTCATTAGATACTTTTTTAGATCTATTATAATTAAAAGTTAAGTTTTACACATTACCAACTTATTTATTTTGATTAACACTGTGTGATGTATTTAAATAGGAAATAAGAAGAAAACACTACCACTCTTGAAAAATAGTATAGAATAAGTATAAGTGCTGTTTTTAGGAATGGGAAGCTAAAGATAAGCCAGCACCAGGGACGGTCAAGCACCATATTTCAATTAAGTTTTTATGGTGCCCAAACAGCTTGTTTAAAGGGACACTATAGGCACCCAGACCACTTTAGCTCATTGAAGAGGTCTGGGTATAGTAACCCTATTGCACTTAGTGCTGCAGTGTAAAACATTCAGAGAAACTGCAATGTTTACATTGCAGCACTAAGTCTGCCTTCAGTGGCTTTCTATCAGACAGCTACTGGAGGTGCTTCCTGGATCCTAATGGACTTTTAACCTGCTAACTGACGCTGGACATCCTAGCAGTCTGCATGAGGACATCCAGCATCACCTACTTCCTCACAGGAAAGCGTTGATTTAATACTCTTCTATGGGGAGGTCTAATGACGAGTGGCACTTGCTGCGATCCGGCGCTGGGATCAGGTAAGTAAAGGGTTTTTAACCATTTATTTACCACGGCCGGGGAACACGGGGGACTGGGAGAGACAGAGGGAGCTATAGTGCCAGGAATACAGCTTTGTGTTCCTGGCACTATAGTATCCCTTTAAGTCACAACCGTTCCTTTAAGATTCCATCCATGATCAGTTGATTTATTCATGGGAGTACATGAATCTGACATACTGCTGGGAAGCATTTTCAATAACTGACTAAAATAATGCAGAATTCATGTTTCTCTATATATAGTGTATTAATTTGTTCTAACTGTATTTTGATATTAATATACATATATATTAAATTCAAAATACATTTAGAATGACACCATAAATACATGTATATGTATCTATATACAGTATCTCACAAAAGTGAGTACACCCCTCACATTTTTGTAAATATTTTATTCTATCTTTTCATGTGACAACACTGAAGAAATGACACTCTGCTACAATGTAAAGTAGTAAGTGTACAGCCTGAAAAACAGTGTAAATTTGCTGTCCCCTCAAAATAACTTAACACAGCCATTAATGTCTAAACCGTTGGCAACAAAAGTGAGTACACCCCCTAAGTGTGTACTTTCTTCAGTGTTGTCACATGAAAGGATATAATAAAATATTTACAAAAATGTGAGGGGTGTATTCACTTTTGTGAGATACTCTCTCTCTCTTGCTCTCTCTCTCTATAGCTAATTTGGCTTGCAAGCCCTATATTTAACCCTGTAACTTTCCAGGCCACCCTAAAACCTGTACATGGGGGGGGTATTGTTTTACTCAGAGACTTCACTGTACACAAACATGGGATGTTAATGATCTAGGAGGGAGCTCTGTTTGTACCTGCAGTGAGGGGCTGGGGGTGTCAGCCAGCAGGACTATACATCCCTGAAGAAGTCTACTTAGACGAAACACGTCGTATTCACACCAAAGAGACTCTGGTTTTGTCTTGGGACTCTACCTGCTATACTACATTGATCCTGGTCTCTTCTATACCATCTATATCCGCTGCTTGTGGAGACATCCTGGCCTTTACCACTATTTTGTAAGTGCAATCTAATAAATTATATTTTTTATACCTACTACCTGCACTATTTGTTGCTCTTTGTTTTTTTCCCACAAGCTTAAAGGACCACTATAGGCACCCAGACCACTTCAGCTTAGGTGCCAGGTCCAGCTAGGATTAACCCTTTCTTCTATAAACATAGAAATTTCAGAGAAACTGCTAAGTTTATAATAGGGTTAAACCAGCCTCTAGTGGCGCTTCCGTGCTTCTCACTGTGATTGAGAATGCTTTCCTATGGACTGGCTGAATGCGCTTGCCGCTCATGCCGTGCATGCGCATTCAGCTGATGAGGAGGAGGAGAGTCCCCCGCCCGGCGCTGGAAAAATAGGTACATTTAACCCCTTCAACCCCCTAGAGCCCGGAGGGAGGGGGGCCCTGAGGGTGGGGGGGACCTAGAGACCCTATAGAGCCAGGAAAACAAGTATGTTTTCCTGGCACTATAGTGGTCCTTTAAACATACTCTGTCAGATGTGGGATTTATCTCCATATACTCTGATGGGCTTGAAATCATCCTAACACTTTGATGGGCTTGAAATCATCCTAATGCTTGTGAGTGCAATTTATATCTAATGGGTGAAGCTAAATCTTACAATATTACCCTATGTCAAGTTTATTCCTTTCATAGATATCTGGACCATTATTAAGGTGGTATCTTTTTTCCTATTTTTAGGGGATATTCACCTTTCTCATATACACTGCACTTTTTTTGGTTATTTATTTGCTTCTAAATGGAATGCTAAAAAAAAAAAAAAAAGAATGGCTAGCATATCCGTGTGTGCAGTACAAGTCTACTAGTGTAATTGTTTATGTAGCAGTGTAAGGCAGTGTTTAACTGCATGTGCATGTTGAGTTATCTCTCTGATTGAGTATCTGCCTGCTAGCATGTGCCTGTTCGGGTGACTCTGTGATGCAAACTGAGTTTTACTGCTGTGAAGATCTGTGATACACTCTCAAACACTGTACATGTTAGTGAAAACAGAAATCACCAAAATGTATTAGGCCAGCACTGAAAGTATTACGTGATGAACTTGCTTAATGGATTAATCATGCGGAATTATCTTGTGCACTGTGTCTTGCTATCAGTGGCGTACACATGACCCATGGGGCCCCGGTGCGAAAATTGATCCGTTGGGCCCCCCCCCCCCCGCGCACGCGGGCCGGGCCGCAACACATGGCGGTGGGCACCTGGTCGCAGGGGTTACAGGGCTGCGACCCCTGCGACCGCGGTATGTACGCCAGTGCATGCAGATGCACACACACTTAAAGGACCACTCTAGGCACCCAGACCACTTCAGCTTAATGAAGTGGTCTGGGTGCCAGGTTCAGCTAGGGTTAACCCATTTTTTTCATAAACAGAGCAGTTTCAGAGAAACTGCTCTGTTTATGAATGGGTTAAGCCTTCCCCTATTTCCTCTAGCGGCTGTCTCATTGACAGCCGCTAGAGGCGCTTGCGTGCTTCTCACTGTGATTTTCACAGTGAGAGCACGCCAGCGTCCATAGGAAAGCATTATGAATGCTTTCCCATGTGACCGGCTGAATGCGCGCGCAGCTCTTGCCGCGCGTGCGCATACAGCCGACGGGGAGGAGAAGAGGAGGATCGGAGGAGGAGAGCTCTCCGCCCAGCGCTGGAAAAAGGTAAGTTTTACCCCTTTCCAGAGCTGGGCGGGAGGGGGCCCCTGAGGGTGGGGGCACCCTCAAGGCACTATAGTGCCAGGAAAACGAGTATGTTTTCCTGGCACTATAGTGGTCCTTTAAAGGACCACCACAGACACCCAGATCACATCAGCTCAATGAAGTTGTCTGGGTGTCAGGTCCCTCTAGTTTTAACCCTGCAGCTGAAAACATAGCAGTTTCAGAGAAACTGCTATGTTTCACTGGGGGTTAATCCAGCCTCTAGTGGCTGTCTCACTGACAGCCGCTAGAGGAGCACACTGAACGTCCATAGGAAAGCATTGAGTAATGCTTTCCTATGGGCGGTTTGAATGCGTGCGCGGTCGCATTCGGAGCTGAGAGGCTGAGGGATCCCCAGCGCCAAGGGAGTCTGGCGCTGGAGAAAGGTAAGTGCTGAAGACACACACACACACACACTTACAGACGCATACACACTAACTAACAGACACACACATTTACTGACAGAGACACAGTCAGCGACAGACATACATACACACTCACTTACAAAACATACACTCATTGACAAACACACACTCACTAAGAGACATCAAACAGACTCACTAACACACACACTCAGTAAGACACACACACTAACACTCACTCTAACACTCACTAGCAGACACACACACTAACACTCACACTAACACTCACTAGCAGACACACACACTAACACTCACTCTAACACTCACACTCACTAGCAGACACACACACTAACACTCACACACACTAACACTCACACTCACTAGCAGACACACACACTAACACTCACACACACACTCAAACACTAACACTAGTTTTTTTAAAATGTAATCCCCCCAGCCTCCTTACCTTTTGGAGTGCTGGGGGGATTCCCTGGGGTCCAGTGGCCCTGCTGATACCCGGAAGGCGGGTGGCCGGTCGGGCAGGCGGGCACGCGAGGGAGGACTCAGTGCTTCCTCTTCAGCTCCCTCGCGCGCCGCGTAGGGATGCCGGCGCCGGAAGATGACGTCATCTTCCGGCTCCGGCATCAGTGCGGTGCGCGAGGGAGCTGAGAGGAAGCACTTGACAGGTTGTTAGCTATATTAGGAGCAAGTGAACAGTCAGTTCTAGAATTTCATGTGTTGGAATAAGGAAAAATGGGCAATCGAGAAGATCTGAGTAACTTTGACAAATAGTGATAGCTATACTGATGTGCTCTGTAAATCAACCCCTCACATGAGACCTGGCAGCTTCACCTGCTCTCTGGCAGGTCTCCTTCCTGTCCCACGCGGTGCTCTGTGTAATGGGGAGAGGCGGGGCCTCACTTCCTGTTTACTCCTCTCACACACAGAGCTCGATCAGGGGAAGGAGCAGCAGCTTGGCAGACCAGAGACCAGAGGGAACAGAGTGACAGGTAGGATACAGCCACTCAGTCACATTAGTCACCCCTCCATCTCTCTGTCACTTGTCACCCCTCTTTCTGTCACTAGTCACCCCTCCCTTTGTCACTTGTCACCCCTCACTGTCACTAGTCACCCCCTCCCTCACTCTGTCACTAGTCACCCCATCCCTCCCTCTGTCACTTGTCACCCCTCACTATGTCACCAGTCACCCCCTCTGTCACTGTGTCACCCCCTCCCTCCCTCATTGTCACTGTGTCACCCCTCCCTCCCTCACTCTGTCACTAGTCACCCCCTCCCTCACTCTGTCACTGTATCACCCCTTCCCTCACTCTGTCACTGTGTCACCCCCTCCCTTACTCTGTCACTAGTCACCCGCCCTCACTCACTATGTCACCAGTCACACCCTCTGTCCGCTGTGTCACCCCTCCCTCCCTCATTGTCACTAGTCACCCCCTCCCTCCCTCATTGTCACTGTGTCACCCCCCCTCCCTCCCTCATTGTCACTGTGTCACCCCCTCCCTCATTTTGTCACTAGTCACCCCATCCCTCCCTCTGTCACTTGTCACCCCTCACTATGTCACCAGTCACACCCTCTGTCACTGTGTCACCCCCTCCCTCCCTCATTGTCACTGTGTCACCCCTCCCTCCCTCACTCTGTCACTAGTCATCCCATCCCTCCCTCATTGTCACTGTGTCACCCCCCCTCCCTCCCTCATTGTCACTGTGTCACCCCCTCACTCTGTCACTAGTCACCCCCTCCCTCCCTCCACTTCACCCCCTCCCTCACTGTCACTAGTCACCCCCTCCCTCACTGTGTCTCCCCCTCACTCTGCCACCAGGTGCCACTCTGCCACTGTCACCACCTCCCACACTCTTCCACCTGTTACCCCCTCTTCACACACACACTCTGTCACCTGTCTCCACCCTTGGACAAGTAGATTTAAAAAAAAATATTCCACACCCCTGCACATGCAGACACACACTAACGCTCAATACACATATGCATTCACACTGACACTATATACAAAATAGCACATGTAGTCATCCAGACATGCACAAGTGCATTCACACAGACTCAAATACAAACATGCATTGATACACAGGTCTTCACAATATACACATCCAAAGGAATGCCGTATTATATGAGAGTTATATTATTATATATAATAATATATAATATAACTCTCATATATTTGGCCTTCAAAGGGCCTGGGATCTAATTTTGTGTGTATAGGCGATCTAGTGAGTGTGTGTATAGAGGATTCAGTGTATATATAGATCTAGTGTGTGTATATCTGTAGATGATCCAGAGTTGGGTAAGGAATCTAGTGTTTGTTTGGAATTTAATGTGTTTAGGGGAGCAGTATGTGTGTGAGGGGTTCTGAAGTATATATACATATATGTCTGGAAGTATTGTGTGTGTGTGAGTGGTGCAGAGTGTTTGGGGGCTGCTGTGTGTATGTGTAAGATGTGCAGCAGTGGTGTATCCTGGTTTTGTGCTGCCCCCCACCCACGCCACCCCACCCTTCCCCCCGCCCCGCCTTCTAAATACACACACATTCACTGACAGACACACATACACAATGTCATAGTCCGGCTACTGGCATCACTCTGCGGCATTTTTATTTTGCATCTCACTGAGCGATTTTGGAAGAAGCATATCAGACTGCATCATTTCCTTACTAATGCTTTGTAAGTAAGAGTGTTATTATTTACGTTGGTGTGGCATTGGACCGTTTTTCACAATATATTTTCACTTGTAAATTGTTTTTTGCACTGTGCACTTTATTATATTTGCACTTTAAGTGATTTGTTATATCACTATTTTTAAAGCAACAGTGCACCTTTTTTTTTATTGTCAGATTTTGTAATTCATGTTCTATTACATGTTTTAGGTGTTGCTCTTTTCACGTTTATATTGTTATTTTGAGGACATATAGAGCACCTCTTCTTACTCGTATTGTAATTTAATATATGTGTGGTGGCAAGTAAGGAGTTAATCCGCCTTGTCTGGGATTAGAATTTTGGGAAGTTTGAATTTTATGGCAGTTGGTCAGTTAGACCGGTATCCGGGCAGAATTGGGGACATTGCTGTTGCTGGGGGGTTGGAGCTGGCCTGTGATTGGTTGAAGGTCGCAAACATTAAAAGAGCGGGAAATCAGGACAGTATAAAAAGCAGCAGCACAGTTTTAATCCTGTCAGAGTGTGCTGAAGTAGGAGCGGTGCGGACGGACGCTCACTTTGCTTATAAAGATTGTGTCGGAGGATTTTATGTCCCAGCTGGAATAGATCATGAAATTGCCAGTTGGGGATTCCTATTTACAGAGCAAGTTGATTGCGTTGCCAGAGCCGATTGGAGACCCAGCATCTAGTAATGGAAAATGTAGGACACAGTAAGATGAATATGTAAAGAGTAGGTGGGCATTGAATTGGATTTCAGACTATTCCCAATGCATCCAAAAGGGTTCAATTTGTCCCATGTATAATGTATTTATTGTACATTATCGGGATAATTCTTCTCTAGGTTTTGGTTCAGGTTTAGAGTGTGTTAGCTGGTTGGAGGTTTTTTTTTTCATCTGTAGTTCAGTTGGTTTGGTATTCCTTTAGCTGCATATAATAATAAATAAATAAATAAAAAACACATAAAAAAAAAAAAAAAATTTAAAAGTTGGTCCAGTAACATGCATTTAGTTTTAGGAATAACAATTTGGTTGCTTGGAAAGCAGATTGCCAAGCTTAATAATGTAATTGATTCATTTTGTTTAAAGAAAAAAAAAAAAAAATTAAACTGCAAGCAGTGACTGCCAAACCCGTTCAATCATAATTGGGTTTATAAGCATTTACAGGTCTGGATAGTAGAACGCCTCGAAGACAAGTTTAGTAAAATGGTGTTTACGGCATGGGCAAAGAAGAAATTGCGTTTTGTTAGGTGCAACGCAGGAATTAAAATATTAAAAATTTGGAAAAGATTTTGCAACTTTTCAATGGTTTTGCTCCTTGTTGCAGTCGGATTTTCCAGTTAATAAAAAAACGGGAGTTATGTGCATTTGGATTTTGCATATTTTGGAAGAAAAAGATGGGCTTTCGCACGGTGGCATGATGTTTGGGTACAGTACGAGGCACCTGCAAAATCTGACCCTGTTTAAATCACTGCCAATTGTTTCTGCAGTTTTCATCTTTGGTCGAGAGCTCCAGAGTAAAAGGATATTATTCCCCTGTGACAAGGAGTCAGTGGGACGTGGCTTTTCCATTCATTGCAATCAAAACATAGAATGTGGCGGCAGATAAGAACCATTCGGCCCATCTAGTCTGCCCAACTTTCTAAATACTTTCATTAGTCCCTGGCCTTATCTTATAGTTAGGATAGCCTTATGCCTATCCCACGCATGCTTAAACTCCTTCACTGTGTTAACCTCTACCACTTCCGCTGGAAGGCTATTCCATGCATCCACTACCCTCTCAGTAAAGTAATACTTCCTGATATTATTTTTAAACCTTTGTCCCTCTAATTTAAGACAATGCCGTCTTGTTGTGGTAGTTTTTCTTTTTAAATATAGTCTCATTCTTTACTGTGTTGATTCCCTTTATGTATTTAAAGGGACACTATAGTCAACATATAAAAGCAAGAAAGACAGGTCCCCCAGCCTTCTTTCTTGCTTTTATATGAACGTGCCATAAAAAAAAAAAATCTGAGTAAGTTTTAATAATAAAACTTACCTCTGCTCCAGCGCCGAGCTCCCGGCTAGGCCACGCCCCCTTTTCCGTCAAATTGACAAAATCGCAGTGCCCAATAGGACGATTCTCCTTGAGAAGCGCCATCGCGATGTGCGCATGCGCGGCTTCGCTGCACCAATCACATTCTTTATAGAGTGGCATTGAATGCCATCCTATGAAGAAACTCAGCGCTCAACCGCGCATGTGCGTTCGCGAGCTGATCTGTCTGACTGACAGCTCAGCTCGCTTTCTATACCCGACCCCCTCCTCAGCCAAACTGTGTGTTTGCATAGAAACACTACATATAGAGATCTCTCAATATATAGTGTTTCTATGCAAACACACAAGTAGATATCCATCCCCATCATCCATCCATCCCCATCATCCATCTCCATTCATCCCCATCAACCATATCCATCCATTCCCATCATCCATATCCATCCATTCCAATCATCCATCCATCCATATCCATTCCCATCATCCATCTCTATCCCCATCATCCATCCCCATCATCCATATCCATCCAGTGGCCCACTCACCCTCAGTCACCCACTCACCCTTAGTCACGCACCCACACTCACTAAATAAGTTTACTTACCGTTTGAATCCTCCCCTCCTCCTCGGTCATCGGTCTTCAGCTTGTCCGTTCAAGCCACTCCCACGCAGACAGGATGCTCATGCACAGTGCTGCCAGAGCTGCCCTGAGCTCTGCTGACAGCAGATCTGAGTGGACTGAGGTGTTTTATGCCTCAATGAACTTGGAAGTCCCTCTGGTGGCAGTCTGAGTGACTGCAACTGTTGGTGTTCCTGGCTTTGAATGTAAACACTGTATTTTCTCAGAAAATACAGTGTTTACATGAGAGAGGCTGCAGGAAGCTATAGTTCTCACCTGAACAACCTCATTAAGCGGAAGTTGTTCAGGTGACTGTAGTGTTCCTTTAACCCCTTAAGGACCAAACGTCTGGAATAAAAGGGAATCATGACATGTCACACATGTCATGTGTCCTTAAGGGGTGAAATGTTTCTATCATATCCCCCCGTCTCGTCTTTCCTCCAAATAAAAAAAATAAATGAAAGCACTATTGTAGGTATTGTATTACTTACAATAGCCCACTATAACAGACAGGCACACATACATACATACAGACACACACACACACAAGACACACATACATACAGACAGGCACACACATACATACAGACACACAGACAGGCACACATATAGACACACACACAAGGCACATACATACATACAAACAGACAGGCACACATACAAAGACACACACATAAGACATACATACAAAGACACATACACACACACACACACACAACACATACAAAGACAAGACACACATACATACACACATATACATACAAAGACACATACATACAGACACACACACAAGACATACATACAAAGACACATACGCAAACACACACAAAATATTTTAGTCACCCTCCTGTTTCCTACCTTTTAGGTGCAGGAGGGTGACTTTCCCTGGGGTCCAGTGGTGGCTCAGAGTCAGAGTTCCCACTCTGACTCCCTCCTCCTTCCTCCCTCGCGGTCTGTGTGTTAGCTGGGAGGAGTGACGTGCAGTCACTTCCCAGCTCTGTGATGTAATCACAGGGGGCCCGGTCGCGCTGTTAAAGCGCCCAGCGCTGAACTGGCCCCCTCACAATCCACATCCATCGGGTGGCCCTGACAGCATGGGCCACCCGATGGACCCCTCCATATGTGGCCCCGGTGTTTTGCCGCGCGGGCCGGGGTCGCAAGTGGTGATGGCGGTACCAGGTCGCAGGGATACTGCCGGCTCGCGCCTGCCTGCCTCCCCGATCTCTCAAAATTAGAAAATCCCTACCGCCCACCTGGAATCCTGAAACGCCCACTAGTGGGCGGTAGGGACCAGGTTGACGACCCATGGGATACATGATGCTATTTCTCATTTCAACTCTCAGCACATACAGAAGTTTGGTACTGATTTGTTTTATTGGTGCATTAAATGAGCGGTCATCCCACGCAGGGGAGGTAAGCAAATCGTAGTATACATACATCACAGGCATTTACCACAAAGCATATTATAAATCAAATTAAAACAGACGAAAAAGTTAAAGTATGTGAACATAGGTTGCGTATAATTAATGGTACTAGTAGAAATTCAAATAAAGTTTGCATATATATATATATATATATATATATATATATATATATATATATGTGGTATGTCCCGTCTAGGCCCTTACGATCTGCTGAAGACTTAAGTCTATCTTCTGTCTGTACTCCCACCTCTGATGCTCGCCTTCAAGATTTCTCGAGGGCTGCACCGTTCCTGTGGAACTCGCTTCCCTCCTCCGTTAGATGCTCACCCAGTCTCCACTCCTTCAAAAAATCGTTAAAAACCTACTTCTTCATAAAAGCGTATCAATTAAACTGTTAATAACTCCTGACTGATTCCTCTTCTGCAACTGTCACTAGTCTAATACTATCCTTACCTTTTTGTGTCATTTTACCCCACTCCCTCTAGCATGTAAGCTCATTGAGCAGGGCCCTCAACCCCTCTGTTCCTGTGTGTCCAACTTGTCTGGTTACAACTACATGTCTGTTCGTCCACCCATTGTAAAGCGCTGCGGAATTTGACGGTGCTCTATAACTATCATAATAATTATATATATATACACATACACATATATACACACACATATTATTTATTTCTTTTACACTGATTTTTTTTTTTTTACTTAATTTTTTATTTTCCAGCAGCAGGGAGACTGCCTGTCAGCACGGACAGTCCCCCTGCAGGCAGATACACAGGCACCTATTGCAGGATCCTGATTTGCCACAGGGAGACTGGGTAGACAGGCAGTCCCCACAGACCAGGAAAAACACTGATCGCGGCCAGGGGAACGGCAGCGACCAGACAAGTAACCCGATACCGTTATGACGGTTCAGGACCATCATCGGTCCTCAAGGGGATGTTTCCGATGACGGTCCTGAACCATGATCGGTCCTTAAGGGGTTAATGAAGCAGTTTTAGTGTATAGATCAGTGATGGCTAACCTTGACACCATAAATAGTTTCTGGACTACATTTCCCATGATGCTCAGCTAGCTTTTAGTCTAAAAGCTAGCTGAGCATAATGGGAAATGTAGTCTAAAAGCTAGCTGAGCATCATGGGAAATGTAGTCCAGAAACTATTTATGGTGTCAAGGTTAGCCATCATTGGTATAGATTATGCCTCTTAGGTTTCACTACTCAATTATCTGCCATTTAGGAATTAAATCACTTTGTTTCTGTTGCTGCAGCCCTAGCCACACCTCCCTTGGCTCTGATTGACACGCCTGCATAAAAAAAAAAAAAAAAAATCAGATGTAATTAACTTAAACAATGTTATCTCTTCTTCTGTTAATTGACGTTTAATCACATACAGGAGGCTCTTGCAGGGTCTAGCAAGCTATTAACAGAGCAGGGGATACAAAATCTGAACTAAACAGAACTTGCAATAAAGGAAGGATAAACTGTAGATGACTTTACAGGAAGTGTTTATGCAGGCTGTGTAAATCAAGTGTAGGGAGGTGTGAGTAGGGTTCATAAACAAAGTGATTTAACTCCTAAATGACAGATAATTGAGCACTGGACTGCGGGGGCATGATATATACACCAAACGTTTTGGTGACTACACACGTTAGAGAGACAATATAATGTTTGTTTAGTAACAGGTGACGGTTACAGCGTTTGTAATTAAACAATTGTTGGTGTTATTTTATAGGTGTAAAATGACGCAATGTATCCGATCACCTATTTTATGTTAGGATATTACTTGAAGCTCTGAATTTTTTTTTTTTAAAGAATTTTCTTTTCAGTTTTTCCTCATCTTTGCTACATTGAGAATTGGAGATCCATTAGTTTAGAAGATTTAGTGTCAGAATTGCATTTAAGGATGGTTTTCTACCATTTCAAATAGGCATTTGTTTGCAGTAGGGGGGGGAATTCAGACAGGAAAAGTATATGCATTTTTTTTTCTGCATCAGTGAAGGCAGAATTGTTCAGCTGAAACTCTGCAAGCTGATTTGGCCGTCCGCCCTGTTACTGGTCCTTTGTTCATAATTCAGACTCTGCCTTAACATTTTAATTTCAGAGGTTAATACAGTTATACTTTGTTGTAAAGATACTTTAAGTTTACATCTTATTTTTACAGGTTTGGTTGAGACAAAGCTGCTATATTGGGTTGGTGCAATCAAGAGGATGGGGAGATGGAACCAGACTGTTTAAGTTAAACGTGCATGAGGATTGGATGTAAGGTCTCCTCGTCATTCTTTATTTTCTTCAGGTATCATGAAAAACAAATGTTTGGATTCTAGGTCACCCTGGGGTCTAGAGGGCCATGCAAAGAGCAGGAGCCAGACCATGTTGGGTGTTTTTGTATACATCTATATAGTATGAGTGTTATGTTCATTTGTTTAATTTTGAAGTTAATATTTTATTTAACTCCAAACTGAAGTTGTGAGGCAAAGTCATCCAAGGGATAGAGTTCTAGGGAAGGATATGTTGGTAAAGGTTTTAAAATAAACAGTGGTCATGTCAGCTAAGACTGACTGGTAAATTGGTGGTTACGAAGTAAAAAAAAAGTTTTTAAAAAGGAAAGTTTGTTATATATTTATAGTTATGCTAGTAAAGCTAGTAAATAAGCAGCTAAAATAAATGAGGTCCAGGCATTCAGGATTGGTGCAGGAAGACAAAAAGTGCAACGTTTCTGCCTACACAGGCCTTTATCCAGCTAGATAAAGGCATCTGGGTAGGCTGAAACGTACTTTTTATTCCAATAAACCTGTCTCCCTGCACCTCATTTATTTTAGCTGCTTATTTACTAGCTTTACTAGCATAACTATAAATATATAACAAACTTTCCTTTTTAAAAACTAAACTGGGTTTTCCCAGCCCTGGACCTGATAAGCACCTGGATTCCTAAGTGTTTGTGCGGTTTCCTCAGTTTGTGAATTACTGTAGTAAATAAGCAGCAACATTGTATAGCTTTAATCTTTTAAACGCAGCTTTAGATACCGCACTGTCACGATTAGTATATAGTGAGGGTATATCATTTAGCTATACCTTGTTGTTCATTCAATTACACATACTTGTAATCCTTTCAGAGACATTTAGTCTCATCTATAAGGTCAATTTTTCTCATAACTATATAGGCTATATATCCAACTCCCAATTTATTAAGGGTTAAAAATGGTATTTCATGTAAATATATTTTTTTTTAAGCTCAACTATTAAGTTAGATTTTATAGATTTACATTATTCATTAACAGTAGCTCTTTTCTAACTAGCAGCTTTAAAATACCATTTTTTTTTTTTTTAAGTTCCTCAGTCTCCCATATTTTTCTGCGGAATTCACCTTGTTAATTCCCTTTCTCAGGTAAACAGAAAGGAAAAGTGTCGCAGTATATTAGCAACCTATTTCTTATAGACTGATACAAATGTACCTACGCCTGTACGACCTGGTCACATCCTATGACCCTCTAATTACATACCTATATGGACTGATAAGATTTGCCCCTGCCAAGTACAAAACAGTGGAGAAACAAAAGGAAAAAAAAAAAAAATCAATTCATGCATTTGACCAACACAAGTGTTAACAAGGAAAGTGCAAGCTTTGTGAGCCCCACAAATCTAGAAATGGAAAATTATGGCAGCAGTTGGAGTTTAGGTGCTATGCAGTCACTTAAGGGAAGAGTAAAAGACACAGCCACATTCATGTCCAAAAATATAAGATTGTTATTAAAACTATTGGTGGAAGGTTTTGCCTTTCAAGGAACTCTGGCTCCCAACTGTCTCAAATTGTATGGTTTCTGGCTCCCAACTGTCTCAAATTGTATGGTTTCAATGTACTAATTGATGAGAACTTTAAGCCGTGTCTGTTGGAAGTCAATCTAACACCGTTTGTTTGTGATGAAAAAAAAAAATGTAAATTAGCTTGTCACAATACTCGGCAAAACAGGGACAAAGATGGCTCCACAACCTGCAAAGTCAATGAGAGGAGGATATCAAAAGACAGATGCAGGGCAGACCAAACTCTACATTTCCCAAGAGAGGATGGAGAATATTCGGGAGGTCGAGAGAAGGGGTTTCATTTGAATCTTTGCCCAGAAAGACACATTGGAAAAAATGACTATTGACATACAAATCCTTCAACATGCTGGCTTGCCATCTATCTACAAAGTAGCCATCACAGCCGGAATCCAGCTGTAGTGGACTTGGGCAACAACACAGCGCTTTGAGTGAACGCTGCCATTGCATTGCAGACAACCAAACCTGTGAGATGACACAAGTCAGTCCATCCACTTGATAGTTCTACAGGAACTAGGGTACAAATCCAAGGCACTTTTTTTTTTACACTGAGAACCAGAATACTGTCAGTCTATATAAAGCGTCTCACCAGGACAGGAAAAAAAAAAAAAAAAAAAGCTATGGAAGTGGGGAGCTTGGGCATTCCTAATTTAGTGACAAGCAAACCCTTCGATAACATTCTGCGTCACCATTCACAATCCAGCATGGGTGGGTTGGGGCAACAATCACCACTGTATGGTTCAAAGTTGCAGCCACTGCAAACAATCAAGACATGAAGCGACACCCAAGCCAGGTACAGTATTCCAATATGTCTGACCAGAGCAATTTGTAAGATAAAAACAATGTTAATATCTGTTACATGTTTCCTTTAGCTATTGTAAAAGCCAATTTATATTTATCCATAATAGATTTTTCAATAGGCAGCATTCTGTTTGAATACCTAGCATCTTTTGTAAAACAAAGAATTTAGAATCACTGCACCACCAGAGCGTGAGGCTAGCAATTTGATTTTCAATAGACAGCATTGTCAATGGATACATAGCATCATGTTGCATGGGTTTACCTTTTTTTTTTTTTACACTTATCAAAGCTGCATCTTTCTAATCAAGCCAATGCTTACCTGTTAGCCCAAGTAGGACAGAGGAGATGAGGACGTTTAACATTAAAACTTTAAAAATGGTTTAACAGTAAATGGAAGAACAATGCCAGTGGACTTGTACTAAATTTTAGTTACATTAGGCATTAACAGTGTCTAGTGTCCCTTTAAGAAATCTATGCTGCCCATTTGAGTTCACAGTACATACAAGTAATGTGTATAATCATGAACCAAGTTAACCCCTTAAGGACTGAGCCAAATGTACACGTTGTGATCAAAACGTAAACAAAAACCTGAATTTGTGCTATATGTCTGTTCAGGCATATTCACCTCTTTCATATTAAATGCACCCACACATATCATTTTATTAAGGGGAAACCAGACTTATCAAATATTTAGGTATAAAACATAATTTAACCCCTTAAGGACACATGACGGAAATATTTCGTCATGATTCCCTTTTATTCCAGAAGGGGTTAATATGAAAAAATAAAAAAGGGAGAAAAGAATTTTAAAAATGTTTAGTTTTACGTGACATTCTAACTGTGAATGTCATAATACTGTCTCATTTTACTGCAATAAAATACACATTTGTATTCAGCGATTCTCACGTGTAAAACAGTACCCCCCATGTACAGGTTTTATGGTGTTTTGGGAAGTTACAGGGTTTAATATAGCATGTTACATTTTTTTCACATTGAAATTTGCCAGATTGGTTACGTTGCCTTTGAGAGCATATGGTAGCCCAGGAATGAGAATTAACCCCATGATGGCATACCACTTGCAAAATTAGACAACCCAAGTTATTGCAAATGTGGTATGCCCAGTCTTTTTTAGTAGCCACTTGGTCACAAACACTGGCCAGAGTTAGTGTTAATATATGAAAATGCAAAAAACTAATTTGAACATCAATTTTGGCCAGTGTTTGTGATTAAGTGGCTACTAAAAAAGACTGGACATACCCCGTTTGCAATACATTGGATTGTCTACTTTTGCAAGTGGTATGCCATCATGGGGGTAATTCTCATTCCTGGGCTACCGTACAGTCTCAAAGGCAACGTAACCAATCTGGCAAATTTCAATGTGAAAAAAATGAAAAGCAAGCCTTCTATTTGACACTATCTTTTGAAAACACCATAAAACCTGTACACGAGGGGTACTGTTTTACTCAGGAGACTTCGCTGAACACATATTGTATTTGTATAAAACCGTAAAACGTATATCACAACAATTATATTCTCCATGTAAGTGCCATTTGGGTGTGAAAAATGCAAAAAAAAAAAAAAGGTCACTCTCACTGACAATATAGTCGTAATACAGGTTACTGTTTTGAAACACTAATATTTGTGTTCAGCGAAGTCTTCCGAGTAAACCAGTACCCCCCCATGTACAGGTTTTATGGTGTCTTGGAAAGTTACAGGGTTAAATATAGTGCTAGCAAATTGAATTCCCTGGACTTTTGGCCTGGGTTGTCAGGCTGGTCCTGCCAATTGTAATTAATAAAATTACCTAATTATGTAAAATTACATAAATATATACCTAGAATTATATATGTGTATATAAATAGGTATATAATTTTTTTATAGTTATATATACACATATACTTATGTATATAGATATATATTATTTCGTTCTACATGTATTTTGATATCTATATATTAATTTTAAAATACAGTTAGAACGAATTTACATATATTTAATTTATTTGCAGAATTATTATATATATAAGATATATATTTAATCATTGTATGTATATTTTGATAATATATTTATAATTATATACATTATTAAAATACACTTAAGACAGTGTATGTGTATATATGTGTGTATTTATATAATATATATGATATACATATATAAAATTAGATTTTACAGAGTTTTAAACGTTCATTTTTTCCCAGACAGCAGGGGGAGTACCTGTCATTACAGGCACTCCCCCTGCTGGCTATGCCGTCCATGTGATCGTGAGGTCCTGACCTCGCGATCACATGGCCCAGGGGGGCCGAAGAGGGACTCTCTGGGCTTCCAAGTGAGTCCCCATACCTCGATCGCCGGTGACTGGGTAAGTAGAAAGGACTGTTTGGGCGTTCTATGCCGCCCTCCAGCGTTTAGAGCCGGTTCCTTAAGGACGGCATAGAACGCCCGCCGTCTTTAAGGGGTTAAGTTATAATAGAAAGGACACAGCAAGCCTGCCTTAGCAGATATATCTTGAGATTCAGTTCTGAAGACCTAATGCTTGAAATCCATTCGAACGCTGCCAATTATTAGTACAAGTGCTTCAGCCACCAAAAAGCTTATATTAAAAAGTAATTTGTATGTTACAAATAGATAGACATTTTTAACTGGATTTTTACCTAGGGATATTTGAGTTTGCCACTAACTTTTCTTTTTCTTCAGTTAAGAGAAAGATTGATGATGTGCAAGAACTAGAAATCTGGGCCTTGTTTGCCAGTTGGAGTGGGTGTACATCTCCCATAAATACCATCCTTTGAAACTAAGCTGCTACTGAAGCACCCCATAGCTTTTGGAGAATTGTCCTAAGCACATTTAGAATCTCCGATTTATATTAATAATTTATGTGGAAAACTATAGTTATATTCAATGTGATCATCCTTGTATATTAAATGGTTACCAATATTTTCTAATGTGTAACTTTAAGACTCTGGAATCTATATTGTTGCGTTTACATGTCTGTACATATAAAACATGCAGCAGAGGGAGTAATTATGTTATCTTGTTTACAATATATTCAAAAGAACAACAACAACAAAAGGTCAGCATATATCATTCAGTCAGCCTGAGCTCTAAGAATTTTCAATTCAACATGAAATTTGAATAATGCTTTATTAGAGACAAATTAGTCTTACAGCCTGGAAGAAATTAAATTTTTTTGGGATTTGGAGCATGAAAGTGCTGTCCTTTATACACCGTGATAGTTTCACGTATACCGTACACTCAAACAAGGTTTTTTAAAAAATATTTTAAAATATCCAAACATTCTACATATATACTGATTAGTATTAAAGTTTCAAGCTTGGCAAGATGCAGGGACAGCTCCATCATCCCGGGTAATCTCCAAATTGAGTAAAGTGGAAGTCGCTACATCTGTGAAATAAAGCATAAGAAATTTAAATATTTAGTTTTAGCTTCCCTTTATCATGAAAGGAACACTAGAAATCCAGCTAAACCACCTTCAATGAAATAAAAAAAAAAAAAAAAAAGGAGGGATCAGGTCTTTGGACTAAACACTTAAGATGACATTTGGGTGCCTAGATGTGTTCCTTTAACTATATCGATTGCTCTATTGTTAAATACAAGATAAATCAGGAAATGAGACAATGGTGCAAGCAATAAGTTTCATATCCCAATTTAAATCTCTTTTTATATCCCATAAGTGTGCATCATCTCTGCATTTACCTTTACTCTCCTGCTCATCCACAATCATACAGTCTTCTTCATCCTCTTCCTCTGTGTCAGCTTGGAAACCATCAGTTTCCATAACATCTACCTGCAATGACAGAATTCATAAAAAGAAAAGTTCAGTTTGCAGTTTTACTGTATACACTAATTTTGAACAGCATTTCACTATAAGATTACTTGAAGACTTATTCAGAAATGATTAAAACAAATAATGTATACACCCCAATATATTTTGCATTTGAATCATGTGGTCTAAGGAGAAAAAAAAAAAAAAATGTCCAGTGCAAGTGAACTAAAACAAATTAGACATATACTATCATTGCATCATTTGTTAAATACATTCTAAAAACCTTTGTAAAATATGCGAAGTGCAACAAAACACTAAAACAAAATCAGTACTTTTAAAGACATATCACCTATATTGTGATTAACAAGGTGCAACAATCAAATTTTTGTCAAGATGAACTATAACAGATTCTTCAAACAAAATCTCAGACAGGGGCAACTGATTGGCTGAAAGCATCAGCTGATGCGGAGAACCGGGGCAGAGCCAAAACTGCGCTGGATTCAAGCAACACTATAGGGTCGGGAACACAAACATGTATTCCTGACCCTATAGTGTTAAACCCACCACTTAGATGGCTTGCCTCCTCCTTAGAAAGGTTAAAACACTTTTTCCAGCGTCGTGCAAGTCCTGCACCCGATCCGCCTCCTTGATGACATCAGAATTTACGATTTTTAACCAACCGAATTGCTGAAACCAGCAAGGAGGCAGGTTGGGGCAGGGCCAAACACCGTTTTGGCCAACCAGCACCACCTCATGGAGATGCATTGAATCAATGCATCTCTAGAAGGAAAATTCAGCAGACTGAACAGCAGAGCTGCCTGTGCAGCACTGCCCCAGGAAGCACCGGCCACAGGAGGTACCCCTAGGGGGCAATGTAAACACTGCATTTTCTCTGAAGAGACTTTGCATGGAAATGCCTGAAGGGAATAATTATACTCACCAGAACAACTACATTAAGCTGTAGTTCTGGTGACTAGTGTCCTTTTAAGTTATTAGTGTACGGCCTGACTCCTAAAGGCAAGCCTGTCCCAGGGACCTCTTGGCATTATTATAACTTCATTCTGATGTAGTTATAGTGCCAGAGGCACCCTACACTAACGCATTAAGAATATAGGTTTGTATTCAGCTGTTTCAATATTCTAGGCAATTAAAATTTGGCACCAGGAATATTTGTTCCGTTTATGCATGCTCAGTGGCTCATTCAGAATGCATTGCCCCCAGGTGTACGTTCCATGTGCGGTGCAAGCAAGGTCTGCTCATCAATTGGCTGTCTCCTGGGTGGGCCACACCACGCCAAAAACGCATTTTCAGGCATGCATGTATAATAGACGCCACTAGGACAACCTGAAACTCCACTGTGGAAGCCAGATTAGCTCACCTTTCAGTTGGCTTTTAATGCTGGATAGCCTCAGTAGCAGTCAGTGTACCACAAAGCAGTGTAGACTTTTAAAAGGAGGCTTAACAAGTCTGTCCTGCTTGTGGTTCAAGTGGGAATCTTTGGTATTCTCAGTAATTATAGCTGCTAACGGGGTGGGATTACGGTTTTTCAGGAGGCTGCCTAGTGTTGCCCTTAAAGGGACCCTATAGCTACCCAGAGCACTTCAGCTTATTGAAGTGGTCTGGGTGCAGTGTTCATATTGCACTTAGTGTAAACATTGCAGCACTAACACAGCCACTAGAGGCGCTTCCGGAATGGTAACAGACTTTTGGTCTGCTGACTGACAAGTTCAGCAAGAGGACATCCAGCGTCAGCTATTTTCCTACAGGAAAGCATTTATTCAATGCTTTCCTATGGGGAGGTCTAATGTACACAACACTAGCTGCGCATTAGCGTCCCCGCCTCAGTGACGTCGGAAGAGGCGGCGCTGGGATGAAGGGGGGAGGGCGGTGCCAGGAATAAAGCTTTGTATTCCTGGAACTAGAGTATACCTTTAACGATACTTTGTATAACATAATACAAAGTAATATAATGGGTCACTAAAATATTGCCATTGCATTTGATTTGTATTTTCATTGTTAAAATACTACTGCCTAGTTTTACTATTTAGCATATTACTATATTCCACAATATCACAGTTTAGATGACCAATCTTTCCTTTACTGCATGACACTGTATAATTGCTATAATTTAAAATTTTCATAATAAGAATTTGATTTTTGCACCTTCTTGGTTTAGGAGATATGTCTTCTTAAAGTACTGAAATATCAGTGTTACTGTTTTTTCATTGCTCTTGCATGTTACCAAGATAAGTGTTTAGATGAAACATTATAAACCTCATTGCAATTAGAGGAGCACTATAAATAGGAAATTTAACACTTTTTTTTACCAATTAGTTTTTTTTTGGGTTGTAAGGAGTATTTACTTTGCAACAAGCACATTTTCACAAACACTGGTTTTAGCTGAGTAGCAGTAATCATTCACCAATCACATCAGTTTTAGTACCAGTGTGACAAAGTCCAGTTATATCAGCACTGCAATATTGCATGACAACGGTTATATCTGTAGTAGACAAATGCCTAATCCTCAATGATTTGTTAATTGCAAACTATTGTGAAAAAAAAAAACTTAATATCAAACCTTAACATAGGTTTACAAGTGTGTAATACGTAGAGTCTCTCCTCAGTTCCTCTCAACAGTAAGTTTAGCATGTTCACACAGTGATCGGAGAGGAGTACCCAATAGTCAGGGCCATATTGCAGCTCTGAAAACTACAATGTCAGATATTCAGAGCTAGAAGCCCTGGTGCATCATTATTACATTACGCTATTCTTACTGAATAAACCCCCTTCCCTGCGGCAGAAAGTAGTATAACACATGGCATTAACATAGCTCTCCTGTCATTTCAATAGGAATTGGTACTTTTATAAATGTACCTTGTTACACCCCTGGCTGTTGGACAACAGGTTACCTTCCTTGTTTGTTTAGCTCAGTGGAGCTAAACTCAAGAGGCAGCAACTGTCCAGATCACCTGCCTAGCAAAGACTTCTCATTGAGCTGCACTGGAAAGTCTGATTGGACAGCCACAGAAACTTTGCTAGGGAAGAAGGAAAGTTCTTACAAAAAGCTGCAGACAAGAGATCTGCAGCTTTTCAAAGCAGATTTTAGATATAATCCAGTAAAAAAAATGCTTAAAGGGACACTAGTCACCAGAACAAAAACAGCTTATTGAATTTGTTCTGGTGAGTAGAATCATTACCTTCAGTCTTTTTGCTGTAAATACTATCGTTTCAGAGAAAATGCAGTGTGTTTACATTACAGTCTAGTGATAACTTCACTGGCCACTCCTCAGATAGCTATTAGAGATCCTTCCTTGGTCATGGCTGCCTAAAATCCTTACCAACATTCAGTATCTCCTCCCTCTCCAAGCAGACACTGAACTTTCCTCAGAGATTCAATGATTCAATTCATCTCTATGAGGAGATGCTGATTGGCCAGGGCTGTGTTTGAATCATGCTGGCCCTGCCCCTGATCTGCCTCCTTGTCAGTCTCAGCCAATCCTATGGGGAAGCATTGTGATTGGATCATGCTACCACTTCTGATGATGTCAGCAGACTTTTTGAGGCAAACAGCATGCAGATCCACAGCTTCTGGCTTGAATACAGTAAGATGTTGCTATATTTATGGAGGCATGAGGGGCACAGGGGGACTAGATGGTGCTTTTAACACTATAGGGTCAGGAATACATGTTTGTGTTCCTGACCCTACAGTGATCCTTTAATTGAATGCATGCATGCTTTAATTTGGGGCATATCTACTAAGTGATTTTTATTTGGACAGTAGTGTCCCTTTAAGCTAATTTGACACTTGAAATATGGAGACAACTGTACTTTTCTAACTAAATACAAAAGTAAAACTGTGGTGAAAATTTAGGTCGAAGTTTAACAAACCCTCAGAATTAACAATCACATGGCAAATCTAAATGTCTTCTTATAAGTGCTAATTAAAGATACCACTGAAGCCTAGTCAGGATAAAGTTTTGCACACAGGATAGAACAGTGTGCAAAAGCCTTATCCTTACCATGCAGAATAACTTACAAAGGGCTAAAGATAGCTAGGAGGAAAACAACCTACAATAACAGCAAATCATGCTTGTTCCTGGTAGTGAAGATATAAGTTACTACTTTTGACTCATAATTCAAATGGAAAAAAGTTAACAGAAAGATAAAATTAAAACATTAAATTCTGGAAGACAATCTATGAAACAAGACGAAAGGCAGAATGTGGCTCTTTAGTGTATCATATCAATGGTCCACAGTCCTGGAATAAAATTAAGACTCTTGTAAAGTCAAAGTTAAATTTCAGTGAACCTGATTGGCAAGGCAACAGTAGATGGGAGTAGCAAAGGCAGAGGACTACTTTGCATTTTATGTGACTCACCGTCTCCTTTGCTTTTTTCATGAATTTTGTTATTGGCATGCTGCCTGCAGACTTTCGCTTGCTGGATACAGGTGTGGAATGCACTGATCCTGCAGAAACCCCACAATCTTCTCGTGATGAATAGTTTTGTGTGATATAAGTCCACTGACAGGGCACAGGAAGATTCTCTTGCTCAAAGGTCTTCAGAACCTCAGAATGCACATACCAACACATTCGGTGGTCTGGCCTTTTCTCATAAACAGAGTTCTCTGATATTAAACGCTTCAAACAAGCTTTAGAGGGCACTGTAATGTTTGGCGTTTGCTGGGCCGTGTTTGGACTGTTCGAATTTGAGGTCACTCCAACTGATGTACTGCTGGTTTCTCCTTCTGAAAATAGACCCTGGCGACAGTACTCCTGGAACTCATGGATGATTATTTTACTGCCATTGACATTTCCATGAAGCAAAGGAAGCAGTTGGGATAGGACTGACCATGGAAAGGAAAGATAGGAAAGGAACATTAGAACATTTAATGAAGAACTGAAGAAAAAGGAAAGTCAACACACGCACTCCAACAAAACTTACTTTGTCGATCCTTTGAATTTCGGCTGCAACTGTTTTCCTGTGCCAGGTCATCCTCTGCTGGAGGAGACTCTAGGACACAGACGGAAAATCTCAGAAGACGTCTAATCTCTGCTGCACTACTTCCCTGCCATATGCACCCAACAACTACAGGCTGCAGTACACGTATCCGTTTTCCTTTAGTCTGCAGCTCGTCCCACTCTTTTGCCTTCAGTCGCTGTTGCACCTTTTGGTTCTCTGGATCTCTGCGGTCCTGTAAAATCACAAATTAGATTTTAGACACTAAATTTAAGTGTTTGACAGAATATTCTCAATTTCAGCCTAGTCATTGAAAGTGGACTTGCTTGGTCAAGTATTGTTATGCTAGGAATTCGGTTTAGAACAGGCGTATACAACCAGTGGCCCACATGCGCCCTGAACCGCTTCTAATGCAGTCCAGTTGCTGTCTGGCGAGGGAGGCATGTAGTTCACTACTTAATGCGCTCTTTCTGCACAGCTCGCACCTGCCCCGCAGTGAGCAGAAAGCTGGGTTATTATGTCATCCCAACACTGGCATCACTGCTAGCCACGCAGGGAACCTGTGCAGTAATAGCACAGTAATCCCATCACAGCAGTAACCACTGGCCTTCAGGGAGAGGATCCACTCCAGACCATCTAGAGCAGGGGTTCTTAACCCAGTCCTCAGGACCCCCTACCAGTCCAGGATTTGGGGATTACCTGGGTGTGTCTCAGGTGTTTAGAAAAAGGGGAAAAAACACCTTAGACTCTAAGGTGTTTTTTTTTCTTTTTCTAAACACCTTAGACACACCCAGGTAATCCCTAAACCCTGGACTGGTAGGGGGTCCTGAGGACTAACGTTGAAAACCCCTGATCTAGAGCAAGGTAGGGAGGCTGGGTGGACCTCGTAATTACTAAATGTGTGTCCCTTTGTGTGCATATCTATGGTTATCTGTATATGCATATACCAGTGTATATTTAGTAGATGGCTCCCTAATTTGGTTTCCTTAAATATGTCAATCCCACATAAGGATAAAAAAATAGAATTATCTGCTAAACAAATTAAATATCAAAATTAAGAAAAGGGCTTTTGAAGTTTTATTATATAAATATTATCCACAGGAAAGCATTGGGGGGCTGTTGCGCATTTACCACCAAACGCCTGGCAGTGTCAATCCGCATACCCTCAGATATGCATCTCTATGAAGAGCGTTCAGTTTCTCCATGCAGAGTGTGGAGACGCTAAATGTTAGTGTTGCACATTGTGTAGCACTGACAAGAAGCACCTCTAATGGCAGTAATATAAAAACAATACCTTTTCTTTGAAAATGCAGTGCTTACATTAAAAGTCTGCAAGGACATGCTATACACACCAGAACTGGACATATTGCTTCAGCTACACGAAGCAATATGCCCTTAGAAGTACTCTTCCCAGATAGTTATACTGTGAAAGAAACTGGTGTTCTCCTTGGCACCTAGAAACCACGGCATTAACATTTATATAATAAAAAAAGTAGCAACTAGACGTTGAAGACCTGTCAAGCTGTGTTTGGTTGTCACAATTTGATGGTTTTAACCATAACAGAGGAATTGCCATCTCCCTAATTCTAAACCCCTTAATGCTACCCCAAACCCTCCTTAATCCAATAAGGATAGAGCAAACCTAAGCCCACTGTTACAGAAGCAGCTAGAATGCAATTACCCAAAAACGGTGTGATCATATACAATTACTCTAAACTTCAAAAGCAAAATGTAATTAAGGTATAAAAATAAAAGTTAAATAGATTCCACATAAGTCCAAAAATGTGACTCTTGCAGAAAAAAGATGCATATTACCTCATCAGAAGCACCCCCTTCATCCTCTGATAAGTAACCATGAGGAACGAAGAATCCATCATCATCTTCCTCGTCCTCCTTCGGCTCATCGTCATCATCCTGTTAAAAGAAATGTATTTTTGTTTACACTTTTTAGCTTGTCAGTGGGCATATTTTTAACAATTTTTAGAGTTGGCTTCATAAGAAAACCAAACAAAACATTAGCTTGCATTATGTGTCGAGTTGAGTAAAGGAATTACAGGTTAACACTTCAAAGTAGCTCTTCAAATGACATGAAAGTCACTCACCCCCTCACTGTGAGACAAGGACTCTCCGGGTTCTTCCTCTTCCCACTCTTCATCACTGTCCATTTCATAATCCAGCAACTTCTGAAAAGACATACGAGGAGTATGTTGAAGGGACATATATCATACTTTGAGTTTCCATACACTTGTCCATCTGCATTTCCTCTAAAATTATATAAGTTCTTTTAAAAAAAACAATTTGCAATGATCAAGCTCTAAATTGAAAACCTGTGCACCATCTGCTTTGTAATATACAATGCACTAGTTCCTAATTTTCAAAGGGATTCTCTATGGAGCCTAGCGTCTGAAAGAGACTGACCCATGCAAACTGAGCTCCGTGAGCGATCCTAATATAATACCGAATTTCGGCTACCACAGAGTGAAAAACACTGATTCAGACACCAAACTTACCATGGGCAGAAAGACAAAGAAGCAGAAGCCTGATAAGCCCTGGTTGGGCATGAATATAGGGGAACTTTTCTGACAAGCACAAGGAGCCCAAGATGGCCGCCGAACTCAGATCTCGCTGACTCCTCGAAGGATCTGTCCCTGGATGACAGCAATATAGGGCTACCCCTACAGCCAGCCCCATAGACCTCAGCACCTGTAATGGCTGCAACCCTTAAGGCAATGCTGGGGGACCTCCAAAAAAAAAACAAAAAAAACATCCAAGCTGACATGGCACTGCTCCGCACAGACCTCAAGGGAATGGTGAGCCACTTGGGCAAAGTGGAGGCATCTACGGAGACTGCAACTCAATCCCTAGTGGAGCTCTGGATCGAAATGGCTGTGCTTAAGAACCTAACGGAGTAATGCTTCTCAATGCTAGGTGACGCAACAACCTTAAGGTACGAGATGTCCCAGAGGAGGTGCCGACAGAGGAATTGCCTCACTAGAACCAAAAACGTGATACCAGATGGGGTCTTTCGCATGCCTAAACCCCGAAGGGCACCTGACACGGCGACTCGAGACCTGGTGGTGAAATTCCACAATGGCGCAGACTAAGCGGCAGTATTATCGGCACTCAAGGAAGTATCTCCCTACTCCTTCGAAAATACAGCCCTCACTGGGCATATACTTCAATGGAGAAGAGCGATGAGGCCCTTTACCACTCTGCTTCGGGATCGTAACATCTGCTACAAATCCAGCAAGGGGACACTTCACTGTGCAGAATATGCAAGAAGCAGAATCAATACTGCAGACCCTGGGCATCCCAGAAGACGCATTGCCACGAGCTGGAGTCAGAAAACAATGCCTCGACTAGCAGATGGGATTCGGCCAATATTACCCCCGTTTATACCGCAGGGCACCTGGCTAGGCACTTATGCAGCGATAACCACCTGAAACTCCAGACTATTTTTGTGTCCCACATCATCCCTAGTTAGGGAAATGTTCGCTTTATATTTGGTTAGAAGTTCTTTATCTTTTCTTTTGCAATCTACAGTTTACAAAGCCTCACACATAGCGTACCCTGCACAGGTTTTCCACCGGTACATGGCCGGATTCTCCCCCCCCACGATATGAAAGTTAGCACTCTAGCCCATGCTAGTGGAGCATGGAGGCATCCATAAGCTCAGGCCACTACCGGCTATCCCAAGCTACAAGCAACTGCTATCCTCCTGGGCTGTATAGCAGCCAGCTGGCAGGTAAGTAGCTCTCTCACATGTCTCACAGTTACTGTAATAATAATCTGGTGACTAACTCTAAAGTTGTACACACAGACCCCCGATCTGTTCTACATAAGCATCCTCATGCACATTTAAAGCCCACCCAGCCCAGGGTCCCCCAATAGCTTTCCCACATCGAGATAGCTCCTTCTCTTACATACAAACCCCCAACTCATTGGTCATAATGTTTGTTAGACACTGTATGATTGCATATGTTGTCAACCTGAATGCTTTATTTTATGTGTCACCTTCTGTTCTACTTTAAGTCACCCTCTCACACCAGTGGGCTGGTGCCAAAAAAAAAAAAAAAGTGTTTTTATGTTCTTAATGAAATAAAGTGTTACTTTCTACTTGAAAAAGTAGGGGGCTTGGGGGGTGGAGAGAAGGGTGCAGGGCACAGATAGTCCACAGAGGAAAACAGACTTTTGAGAGGAAATAAATCCTGCAAGTTTAACCTGTTCTACAAAGTGCTATCTGGATGCCCAGTAACTTCATATCAAATTTTCACGAAATCTAGTATCACTAGAGTTTGGCCATGTGAAATCTTTAAACATTTGGGTTTTAATAGCGCACCATTAAACTACTAAAGAGTAATTATTCATCTACAATTATATGCACGTAGGCCAGACCTGCAATTGTTTGAAAGGTTGTCAGCTAACTAATCTGGCATCACGGACTGTGTTCACTATTACAATAATTCCGAAGAATAAATCATGAATGCATATAGCAACAGTATACATACCTTGTCCTGAGCCAGCGGCTTGCGTGCAGATATTTCAGAACTCATACGGTTCCATGTGCCCCAGTAAGCAGGTCTGTAATTGTCACAGAACTGTAGCAGCTTCATTCTTCCAAATTTCCGTCTCTCAGGAACAGGATTCTGATTGACAAGCGATTCATGCATAAACGTCCCATCAAGTACCACTTCTGGATCTTCTAAGATCTGTACCTCATCCACTTCACTTTCCATCATATCACTGCCAAAAGAAGAGAGGCGAGATCAGTTACTGATTTAAACTTAAACATAACAGTCCCAGTTCTGGTACCATAGTAAAAAAAAAAAAAAAAAAAGTTTTAGTATAGTTTTACAGTTTGAGGCCGGACAAACATACTACTGGAGCACCTGCTTGCGGTCTTCAAGATAATATGTTTAGCTCTCCTGCAAAAGAATACTGGAACCAAGAGGTGCGGACAGCCTGTGGGAAATGGGCAAGCTGCCAAACTATAATTAAACTTGTTTGATTACATACAGTGGGATGCCACTGTCACCCTAATCACTACAGCAGGCTAGTGTTAAAGTTATAAAAACAAATTGAAAACCTTTAACTGAGTTAAAAACTAGGGCTGTGTGGTTTATTACCATCCCAATACAATTGTGATCAGTCAAGATATTCCTTAAAAAAAAATCGCACAAAAGTGCCGTTTTCTAAGCAGATTTAGGGTCGAGCAGACTTGGGAGGTCCTCTAATAGCAGCATTCATGCTCAGGTGGAACTGTAAGAGGTCTTGGACTATTTGTTGATCGAGAGTTGGGAAGTTACATTATAGCTGGGCCTGAAAGCTTGACTGCTGGCATATCCGGCTCCCATGACGCTCGACCATGCTTCAAATACCAATGCAGGAGGAGCAGGGAGTGACAGATTAGTAGTGGGGACAAAAGGGACATGGACAGCATGGGAGAAGTTGGGGAAAAGTGCGGTATTGGCAGAGAAACACAAGTGGTGGAACGTGGAGAATGGGTAGCAATACAAAACTAGGGCAAACGGTGGCAGAGCACAATTATTTTAAGGCCTATGCTAGTAGCCAGGCATAAAAAGGAGACATGGACAGACAAGTCTTACAATGTTCCCACCCAGCAAGGAAAATAATCTTACACCACCACAGAATTCTGTTCCAAACAAAACAAAGAGTTACCAGTTTCCTTGGATGAGGGAGTAGCAGAGGAGCCGTGTAAATAACCTGAAGTCTCAGGTGGAGTAATACATTAAAGCATGGCTATACAAGAGTGATAACAGTGTGCAATATGAGCCTTTACAGAGGTCTGATATGAGTGGGATTTTCCACAAATCTAACCCCATGGACAGCACCAAGAAGAGACCAAATGTGAGTTGGCACCAGAGTGAATGTCCGGCACACAGACAAACCACAAATTTGAGGTTCAGTGTCTCTACGCACTGCATGGAGACGAACGCTCCTCAGAGATGTAGTGATTCAATGCATCTATGAGGAGATGCCGATTGGCGAGGCCATGCAAATGGCTGCGCATGCCCAACAGTCTTCCAATGATTTCCTATGGGGAGACGGAGCGGGGAGCAGAGCCAGCCACAAGTCACGTGCAGCTTTATATAAACAGGAACAAGGACAAGGACCTAAACTGCACTAGAACTATATCTACAACTAAATTAGAACTACAGCATAATGACTTACATGTTTGTAGTCCTGACACTACTGTTTCTTTAATGTTTTGTTGTGAAATTATCCTGTAATTCTGAAAACCGTTAAAGTTTGCCTTCAACTTTTTTTCTGGTGTGATAACATTTTGTTTAGGTTTGATTACCTTTAAGTTTTATCAGTTTCTATTAGCATATTGGAATCTGAGGTTCTACCTTTGCAGCCGTTTTTTTTCAAAGGGCAAATAAAACATTTTTCTTTTTTTAAAGACGTAAAGACTCATGGTTTGTATTCATATGTACCCTTGTTAACAGCATAAATTTAGCAGCTCTTTTACAAGCTTCAAAAGTGGAGTTGCCTAAATTTTGCAGCTAGTCTAATCAATGCCAGGACATTTCCTGGAGGTTCTGCCATGATTCATTAATTTTAAATACAGGTTATGATCTGATACAACATGTCCCCATATTTATATATGCTGTTAATTACTACATTTTATAGTTTCGTGGTAGCATACTCCACATCACTGGGCTATTTGATGCACATAGCTTCAAAAAGGGCCTCCCAGAGTAACCTTCAACCCAGTCTCTCTCCTTTCCTTATAGTAAAGGTAGGTTTAGAAAGTGAATTTGAAAACAAAATGCTGAGAACTATGAAGTTAAACAAATATACCCACACAAACAGTGTTATTCACTAAAGTGTTAATTCAAAGAGAACTTTAATAAATTTAAGGTCAAAATAGCTGACTGAGCTTTTTCAGATTGGCTTTTTTGAATTATAATTTTAATTCACTTTGAATTACCCTGAATTCACACTTAACCGTAAAAGTAGACAAATGCACTAACTGGTTTATGTGTTAACTCCTTAAGGACTGAGCCAGTTGTACAAGTTGTGACAACAATTCTATAGTGTGAAAGTGCAGTTTGTGTGAAAAATGCAAAAACAAAAAACAGCACTTTCACAGATAACATTGTTGTGATAAATTTGTGTTTCAAAACCATAAAACCTGTGTTCAGCAAATTCTCCAGAGTAAAACAGTACCCCTATGTACAGGTTTTACGGTGTCTTGGAAAGTTACAGGGTAAAAATTTAGGGCGTGCGAACTATATTCTCTGGACTTTCTACCTGCGTTGTCATATTTAACGTCATTGTAAGTGTATTTTAACATATATAAAATTATATATAATTAAAATACACTTAGAATAGTTTGTGTGTATGTGCATATAAAAGTACTTAAATCATATACACACACATATAAATAAGTATGATCTAACTACCTTACTTTAAACTTTTTTTAAACTTAACTTTTAAAACTTTACAGGCAGCAGGGGGACAGCCTGAGAGCTCAGGCAGGCACTGAATGAGCCGGCTATTCCGGCCATTAGATAGCAAGGACCCCGCGATCACATGGCCCTGGAGGGCTGGATCATGCAGAATGGTGCTGCTTGAGCTCCCAGACAGCCCCCCGGATTGTGACCGCCGCTGTGGGATCGGCAGGGACCGGGTAAGTCCCCTGGACGGCAGGGACATTATATGCCGCCGGCGTTTAGGACCACCCAAATAATGATGGCATAGAACCCCTGCCGTCCTTAAGGTGTTAAGGGAAAGGTAACCTTGCATAGGGCACATCAGTACAAATACAATTCTTGGTGGAGATTTAATGTCACACCTGCTCAGGACTGACACCTGTGGCACCAAAGTCCGCCCCATTCTTCTTGGCTTCCGCGTCTTTATTTCTGACAAGAAGGACAACTTGGAGTTTTGATCCTGAAGAAACTTGTCCAGCTGCTCAGAGGCTTCTGACTCAAACGCAACTCGGCACAGTGGGGCCACAGCCATGTTCTTCTTAATTTCAAAAGGGGCAAACTTTCCACAAGAACTGGCAAAAGTCTAAGATTGTGGAGAGAGGAAACAATACCAGATCTTCAAGAGTTATAAATATAAACTTTTTGTTTTAAATAAAGCCAAAAACCAATTTAGTGGATTGAATAAAATTCATAAAAGATTGCTGAATTTGCATTTCTGACCTAAAGGTTTAGAAGAAGTGGAGTCAGATGTAGTGGGGACACTAAAGGAGCCATAAGCGTCCTACTCAGGTCAAATACAACCATGAAGGAACTTGCAAATGAAAAACACTGTTTTGGAACATACAAAGTTTATATTTACTTTAGAATCTAAACAGAACTTTAGTAAAACCAAAACCCTTCACAGTTCATAGTAAGTTTCATTCCAACAGAGATAGTGTGCTATAAACGTCCTGTCGTTTTCAGAGTTAAATTCCTGCCCACACTTGAGATATCTGTAACAATCGATACCTAGGGCCATATTTAATGGCCTAACACTAACCCAGTGAGTCATGTGCTTCGCTCCAAGTGATAACTGCACACAGGCCTTTAAAACCACAGTGGCTGGGGGTCAAGGAGCCAAAACAACCCCACTGGGTTTCCCTGCCAATAGACCTCAGCGCTAAATTGTGCATGCTGCCCAGCACCAATCACCGTGAGTGAAATAATGAATCTGCACCATGAGTAAGATCTCCCTCATGTATTCACACAAAGTGCTCTGTGAAACAGAATCCCTCTACAGAGGGAAGGCTAGAGGAGATTGACTCTAGTTCTAGCCCTTGCCAGCCCACATTAAAGAGTGATGCAGGTCAGAATGGCAACACCTAGAACCCTTAAGTGAGCCATTTTTAACCCCTAAAGTGCCTACAAAACCTGGCAAAGTAATACATTGAAGAATTGTACTCTGAATCAGTAGCAGAATGCAAGCATGGGGTTATTAAATTATTGGGATTTAAATGGTCGGAAATTTGCAGTAAAAAAAAATTAAGTCTACAAATGTGGTTTTATTTGCACCCCCATCTTTTTAACTGAAATGCTAGCCATATGAGGTATTTAACAGTCAGGACATTGTTAATATACAGAGCTTTCTTTAGTTGAACTTCATGTGTAAACAATCGTTCATAAAACTGAAAGTTTTCCTTCACTTCCCATTTAATAGATACTATGTATACATGCAACATAGCAAGACAAAGCACAAAGTGTCCTTCAACTAAGATATAACTGAGTGAGAGAACAAATTATTGCAAATGGTACAAAGTACAAATACTAGGTTTTGCTTCAGATCTAAAGTTTGACAGTTGCCTTAAACAATTACTCAAACTACCACGACCGCTTCCGCTTTTATTGGTCATAGTGATAGAAGTTGGAATATGCAGTGTTTCTTCTTGAAACGCTGTTCATACAGAGAAATTAGCATTTTATTTTATTAATTATGAAATAGGAGAAAGTGATGTATATCCCACAAGGGAAAACCAACATCAGGAGAGCTCCACTGGTATAAGAAATGAGGAAGCTTTAATCCATCCAATGATAAAAGGGTTATGCAAACAAATCCCTCCACTCCCCCCCCCACACTTCATTTCTGATACCAGTGGAGGTCTCCTGATGTTAGTTTCCCCTTGTGGTATTCTATACATCACATTCACCAATTTCCAGCATATTTCGAAGGGTAACCCCCTTATTGGAGCTCCCTATTAGGTGGTTACAGTGGTGCAGCTCACAAGCCCCTGACTTGTATCCGGACTCCTGACCTGCACTCTGTTTACTTTATTTCTCCATTTTGTATTTTTTTTTTTTATATAGCACCAGCAAATTCCGTAGAGCTGATCAATTTTATACAATATTTATCTGTCAGTGTGCACTATGTGCTGGTGACAGATATAATGAGCTTGCAAGGAGAAGCTTCAGCGTCTCATCCTTCCCTTCATTTTCCACATTTACTTTTATATGTAGTAAAAAGCCCTCCCTTTTCTCCACATACACGCTCTGAGACGGTGAAACGGCCCAATCAAAGGTTTCTTTATGTTAAGCAGTTGATTGGACCGCAGATGACGGATGGGGCATGGAAACAGAGGACCTGGCCTGTTTCTGGATTAAAGGTACGTTTTAATCAAGAGGTTTTTTTTCCCCTATTAAAATAACTAGTAATAAATAAAGCTAAACAGTAGGGATCGACCGATATTGATTTTTTAGCGCCGATACCGATAACGATATTCTGTGAACTTTCAGGCCGATAGCCGATATTCTGTACATTTACCATTTTGGAAAATAAAAAATATTTCTAAAGGTAAATGCACAAAATATACATGCCACATGTAGTGGATGCAGTGTGTTTAGACAGGGGAGCTGTGTGTGTTTGTGTAGTGTGTGTAGTGGATGCAGCGTGTGTTTGTGTAGTGGATGCATTGTGTGTTTGTGTAGTGTGTGTTGAGGATGCAATGTGTGTTTGTGTAGTGGATGCAGTGTGTATTTGTCGAGTGTGTGTAGTGGATGCAGTGTGTATTAGTGTAGTGTGTATATAATGAAAGCAGAGTGTTTGTGTAGTGTGTGGGTAGTGTGCATAAAGTAAATGCAAAGTGTGTGTGTATTTGTGTAGTGTGTGTATAGTGAATGTAGTGTGTTTGTATACTGTGTGTATATAATGCAGTGTGTTTGTGTAGTGTGCATTATATAAACACACTACACAAACACACTGCATTATATACACAAACTATGCAAACACTGCATTACACAAACACACTGCATTATATAAACACTACACAAACACACTGCATTATATAAACACACTACACAAACACACTGCATTATATAAACACGCTACACAAACACACTGCATTATATAAACACACTACACAAACACACTGCATTATATACAGTGTGTTTGTGTGGTGTGTATATAATACAGTGTGTGTAGTGTGTATATAATGCAGTGTGTTTGTATAGTGTGTGTATATAATGCAGTGTGTATTTGTGTGCATTGTATACACACTATACAAACACACTGCATTATACACACACACAGCATTATATACACACACTACACAAACACACTGCATTATATACAGTGTGTTTGTGTAGTGTGTATATAATGCAGTGTGTGTTTGTATAGTGTGTGTATATAATGCAGTGTGTATTTGTGTGCATTGTATACACACTATACACACACACTGCATTATATACACAGTGTGTTTGTGTAGTGTATGTGTATATAATGGAGTGTGTGTGAGGGGGCATTTTTTTTATTAAATTATTATTTTTTAGATTTAATTTTTTTTTGTTGTCCCCCCTCCCTGCTTGTTGCCTGGCCAGGGAGGGGGGATATAGCAATCCCTGGTGGTCCAGTGGCATTGGCTGAGCTTTGGGGGAGCAAGCGCTTACTCACCTCCCAGCAGCTCCTCCAGCCTGGCGGTCCTAGGAGGTATTATCGGCAATATCGGTATCTGAATTGGCCGATACCGATATTGCCGAAAATACCGAATATCGGACGATTATATCGGTAAAACCGATAATCGGTCGATCCCTACTAAACAGACAGAAGGAGAACACGTGAATGCCTGAAAGTTTTTAGTAGATCATTCAAGATAAGGAAATACCTCCATGTATGGAATAGCACTGGTTTTGACATTAAACTGGGAAAGTGCAAGGACACTATAGGCAACATCAGATTTATGGTTTTGTTGGCAGGTCCAATTTATGTACTACACCATTCCACTCAACCTCCCCTCTATTTCATTAGATATATCCAAAATAATTTAATGAAATGCAACTTGTATTTTTACCTTAGGAGTGTGCTGAATTTTGGGTTTGTGAAAAAAACGTCTAATTTCTGCCTTCTCTGCCTTCATTCGCTGTAAAATAAACGTTAGAGTAGTCTTGTATTTGTTCCATAAAAAAAAAAAACTTAAAACAAGGCCACAGCTATACAATAAACTAGCAACAAAGCAGAAATGCACATATCTAAAATAACTTTGCAGATCATAAATCAAATTGAGCTCACCGTAATGGTAACAGTGCAAATGATATATTGTTGCCATGTCCTCTGGTTGTGTAAAAAAACAAAAAAAAAAATACACATATATACATACACACATATACAAAAAAATAAAAGCGCATGAAGTGGAAATGAGGCTTCTTCCTCTACCTAAAGCTCACACACCCTCTGCTGTAGATTATTAAGCAAAAGTGAACTTCAAAACTTGACTGCAAATACCACATACTATGGCTGGTCAAATGTTAGCCAAAACAGCCAATATGGACATTCACTTTTGCATTAGATAGCCTGTAGCAGAATGAAGATTTAGATATTAGGAGAGCAGTTTTTTTTGTCAAAATGCTTTAAACCATTCAACACAAGCTAGGTAGATTCTCTAAGACTTTACATGTACACTCCAAGTACCATAACCACTAAACAGGATTAACAAATATCTGATTCATTCTGTAAATAAGAAACTACCTTTTCCTCCTCTTTCACTCGTTTCTCTTCCTCTTTTTTCCGTTTCTCTTCTTGCTTAGCCCTGTACAGAGTAAGCAAAATGACCAACACTATGTATTGTCACAAGTCACTCATGTAGATATGGCACATATTTGAACACCTACATAACTAAAATAGAGCAACTCTATCAGCATCAAGAAATGAGAATACATTGGGGGAGAGAGGGAAAGTCCATCTATAGTAAATACTTACACATGCACTACCGAAATACTTGACAGTGAGTAAAAAGGAAAAACATCCTGTAGATTTCAACTTAAGGTGCATTGCCACCTCATCCAGCAGTAACCAAAACCTGAGCTGGGTCAGGTAATCAGAATATTTACACTTATTTGGGATATTTTAAGAACTGGCAGGATAGAGTTTGAAACCTAAGGTAGACATTGCTGCAAGTTCACCAATATTTTCTTTATATTAAATATATCTATATCACACACTGTTGCTGTAACAGTTTAGGCATTTATATACCCAACAATACGTTGCACACCCCTCTTCTCCCCCCCCAACACCACACTACCATCATTTTTCAAAGACTCACTCAAGAGCTTCAAGTTTTTCCTTTTTCTTTTCCTCCTTTATTCGCAGTTTCTCTGCCTTTTCCTTGTCCTCCCTCTCCTTCTTTTCTCTCTTCTCTTTTTCCTTTTGCTCTCGCTCTTCATCTCTCTTCTTTTTTGCCTCCTCTTTGACTCGTTCCTTGGCAGCCTTTGCTTCCTCTCTTGCCCGTTCTCGCTCTTTACGCTCTGCCTGCAGTTTCAGTTTCCTCTCGGGTTGCTCTTTGTCCTATAATGAATACAGAATATTTCAAATATATCAAATGGAAGGACAAGTAAGCCTAAAATGTCTTCAATGGGAACTTTAGTAAACAGCATTGTCAGATATCAAAATCCTGTAGGAGCTTAGGATATGCCACGGCGTTGCATCACAAAAAAACACAAAAAAAAACCAAAAAACCAACAACAAAAAAAACATCACACACCATTTTGATCCAGTTATTCCCACTAGGGGCGGATCCAGAACCTAATCTCGGTATAACCACTACCGCTCTGTGGTGGTTATGGTGCCCTTCCAGGGAATAGTGACAGTGTGTATCGGGGGGTGGGTAGGGGCAGCGCGCGCGCATTGAGGGGCAGCGCGCACGTGTGTGTGTATTAAGGGGCAGATAAATATAGAATTTCTTTAAAATTAAAATTAATTTTTATCCCCTCCCCCTTATCTTTGCTGATTTCCTGCAATCCCTGGTGGTCCAAGTGGTGAGAGTGAACTCTAGCCTGCAGATCCTGAGGCTAGAGTTCACTCTCGTGAAAAGCGGAGCGTTGCCGTGGTAACCGCGGCAATGCTCTGTGCTCACTAGAGAATGACCTGGAGGCAATTGCCTCGTTGCCTCTGCCAGTGTTCCACACCTACTGGTCAAATAGCTAAGGCGGCTTTGGAAACTGCCAAACAGAATACACTTTTCTCCCTCAAGTAGAGTTTTGCCAAATTAAAAGTGTACTTCTTGAAGCATCAAAACGTAAACTCATTTCACAGGCTGCAATGAAAGCAAGTCCTTAAACTGAGGGATGGCCCTCTAACAATTCTCTGTAGAGGTTATAGTTTCTAGAGTGACCCCTTTAATAGTTTTTCAAGACACCTTCAAGTAAATCACTTATGGAAACTTTCCTTCAAACATGCCACCATGTTTCGAACTTACTTTAATCTTCTTTTCTGTGGTTCCTTTCTGCATGATGACCTGTTAGGGTGGGGGGAGAAAAAAAAAAAAAAAAATACATTAAACTTTTATGCAACAATCCCAACTAAAATATTCTCCACATTTCTTCTACAATAGCATTTTCTAAAGTCTTCACATTTGGCATGACACAAAGCATGGTGATGCCAAACTTTGCCTACTCCTAGAAACGCACTGGATTCAATGCCTCTGTAGAAGCTTGAGATCAGAAGAGTACAGCAACTTTAGGTCATGCAACGAAGGTGAGAAGAACCCCATTGGACCAGAAATCACAGAAAAATCTGAGATTGTACGAGGCCCACATTCATTATTCCAAGGTAAAATAATGGCCTCTACATAAAAAAAATTTGAATAACAAATCTATCAGACAAACATTTGTCACCTCCAAAGCGTTGACTGTATTTTGGTTTTATCACTAGACCTATCTACAAGCGAATAGTAACACTAATTTCCATACCAGTATTAGCCCTCCACTAAATTTTTCCACATTAGGCTCATGAGACTCACCATGACTGCATGCCCACTCACAAATCTTGAGCCCTGCTAAAGCTTCTCTTGCAGCTTGGGTCTGAACGCCTGCTCTAGAGACAATGGCTTTGTTGTGGAGTTTCATTTTGTATAAAATATATTTAATATTTCAGCAGGAATTAGAATACAAAGGAAGAAAAAAAAACACCCACTAAGCCTTATTTATAAGAGTAAGAAAATACTTTTTTTTAAAGGAAATCCTACAAAAACAAAACATGGAAGTTGCCTAAAAGAAAGGAAACTCAGAGGGTGATGGACCCCCAAGAACCTCAAATAGTATTTTATGCAAGGTAATAAAATCAATCTAGAGATCACTTGTTTGGAAATATGGTAGGATTTGGTTAACAATGGCAGATCATTTGTGTTGTCATGTGCCTCTGCTAAAACTGCTCAGCAAATTTTTGACCGTTTTCCTCACTGTCAAAAAACTGGGAGAGGAGAATATCTAGCAGATATACCACCAATGAAAACTTCAATTTTTTGCTGCACGTTGCCTTTGGGATATACAATGACCAGTCACATTAAAACCACCTGCCTAATATCGTGTAAGTCTCCCTCGTTCTGCCAAAACAGCTCAGTTGTATCAAAGCATGGACACCCCAAGACCTCTGAACGTGTAGTGTGGTATTAGTCATCAAGATAGAAGCAGCATTTTCTGAGTCCTGCAAATTTCAAGGTGAGGCCCTCGTGGATCAGATTTGTTCCTGCACACTCCACAGATGCTCAACTGGATTGAGATCTGGGGAATTTGGAAGCCATGGAAACACCTTGACCGCTTTGTCATGTTCCACAAATTATTCCTGAACAACTTTTGAAGTGTGCGTTATCCTCATAATATGCCATTGCCACCAGGGAACACCATTGGCATTGTAGCGGAGATCCCTGTACCCCTGGCTGGGTACCTCTGCCAAGGACCGCTTCCTAACTGGAACAGGGGACAAACCGCAGCACTTCTGCCCGGTCGCAGTGGCTTGACTGGGGCCCTGAAACCGCTCCTTCCTGGAGCCGAATGGGGAATTAGCTCTAGTCCTTACAAGGACTTTCCCCGTTGAATCCCCTGCAAGCTGGAACAGCAGACACAAAACAGCAAACTCTGTTAAAAAGGGGAGTTTGCCACAGGCATGAAGGGGTTAACAGTCTGCAACAATCAAGGTAGGTAGTATGTATCAAAGCAACACACATTGATTCCAAGACCCAAGGTTTCCCTGAAAAACATTGCCCAGAGCACAACACTGCCTCTGCCTGCCTACCTTCCACTTATTGTGCATCCTGCTGCCATCTCTTCCCCTGGATAAATGACACACCTGATCTAAAAGAAAACGTGATTAAGATCAGGTAACCACCTTCCATTGCATGATGTAACATCCCCACTGAAGCAGCTTTTGGGGGTTGACACGGATCATCACAGACACTTTGACCGGTCTGCAGCTACGCAGCAAACAGATGCATTGTGTGTCCTGACACCTTTCTATCATGGCCAGCATTAAGTATTTTAGCAATTTAAGCTACAGTAGTTCTGATATGTGATCGGACCAGACCATTGGCACTCGCTCCCCGCGTGCATCAGAGGTTCACTGGTGGTTCTTCCATTCACAACTTTTAGTAGGCACTAACCACTGTATACCAGGAAAACCCCACAAGACTAGTCGCCTAGCCATCACTATTTGGCCCTTGTCAAAGTCACTCAGATCTAGTAGTTTGCCCATTTTTCCTGCTTCCAAAATTCAATTACAGACTTCACTTGCTGCCCAATAAAACCCACCTTTTGACAGGTGACATTGTAATGATACAATCAATGTTATTCACGTCACCTGTCAGTTTTTAATGTTGCAGCTGATCAATGTAGCTAAAAAGCTTACAAAGGGTGCAGCACTTATGAATGTAGTAGCCTTTGTTATCCCTCTCCTCCTATCCCAGAAGAGACATTCAGTTTCTTCATGGAGAAATAACCAGAAGCTTCTGAATTTCCCTTCTCCAACGTTAGTCTGATGTGAGGAGGAATGGGGGAGACAACTACGTTAAGATTCAGGAAGCCTTCTAGTGGCTGTCTGGTAGACAGCCATAGAGGGCAGACTTAGAGCTGCAATGTAAACATTGCAGTTTCTCTGGAACTGCAATGTTTTACATTGCAGCACTAGGTGCAAAAGGGATACAGCACCCAGACCACTTCAATGAGCTGAAGTGGTCTGGGTGCCTAAAGTGTCCCTTTAAAATTAGATACTCTTCAATCTTTACAGTCAACTGCTCTATTGTAAATTTTATTCTCGCCTGGGTGGTCATAAGATGTAACTTTCTGTAAAATAAATATAAGATTCAAAAGCTGAAGTGGTTTTGGGTGTAGAGTGATCCTTAGAGGCATCAAGTGGCCAGGGAAATGTCCAGGCATATAGGTCAATGGTTCCCAAAGGCACCCTACCAATCTAGAATTTAGGGATCACCCAGTTTTGTTTACATTTTCTTTTCTAAAAAAACCCAAAGACTTTAGAGACACTGCATAAACTCTAAATCCTTGACAGGTAGGAGTGCCTTGAAGACTGGTTTGGAAACCACTGGTTTAGGGAAAACCTGACCAACTACTTCTTTAATATTATCCCATGAAGTGCACACTCTAGGACACTGCCGTCTAAATTGTACACTTGGAACCGCAATTTCTCCAACATAAGTGGAAAATTACCCATGCTATACAGTTTTGCAGGGAAATCTTGCCAGAACTTTGTAATCTACAAAATTTGGTGGTTTATCAAATGTTCTCCAAATGGTGCCTTCAATTGATCTATATCCTGCCCCAAATCACAATTTAGCTTGGAGGCTCATCATGGTAGTGTGTACAAGGAAATAGGGATCGACATTATTTTTTTAGAGCAGGTACCGATACTGTATTTTTATTTTCTACATTTTTTATTAAGTGGTAAAAACAAAATATACATGCAAGTCAGATTTTTTTTTTTTAATGTTTTCAAGAATATTTGTGTGTGTAGTGGCTAAAGAGTATTTGATTAGTAAATGCAGTGTGTAGTGGATGCAGGGAACATTTCCCTTAATGTTCCTCTCCCTTCTCTTTTCACAGCTAACTACCTCAAAATGCTTTTCATATAGATGCCCCTACACTCTCTCCCCCTCCCGCCCTACACAAACCTACGACAGCTGGGTACAGCACTGAATATGGCACTTTACCAATTCATAAAAATAGCAGCTGTAGGAGGGGTGCGGAGAAGGCGGTCAAGCAGTGAAGACTAATTTTGCAGTGCTACGTAGAGAACTGATTAATACCTGGTGCCAAGACTTAAACCGCACATATTATATCCAACCCCAGGGCGACCGCGGGGAGTTGCTTAAAAATGGCATGAAATAGCACCTTCATCAAAGCCCCCAACATCAGATGGTGTCCGAGAATGAACCACCCTTAGTCTCCTTGGTCAGTTGTGTGATCTAGAGTGACGATCCAGAGAAGTATTGTCAATCCGTAGTGTTACAACCTTGAAATACAGCAGCCTCAAACTACCCTAGGAGCATCGAGACTTGGACTCCAAAGATACTGAAGCCTCGCTATGTGAAAAGGCTGCAAGTGAGACTACAAGCTCCAGACATATGCAAGCAATGGCTCCGTAAGTAAGCAATGGCTTCAAACAAACCAGGCATGGGCTCCCATATGGAGACTGACCACCTACCATCAAGCAAAGCAAATATAAAAACCCTGTTGTCCAGTATAAAGTATTTCTATTTTTGCTGCTACCTCTGTAGTGAAAGGATATGGCTACACCAAGAGACTGAATACAAGTAGAAGAGGTCTAACGATGGCAGTAAACAAGATATGGCTAATGCATTCACACAATTGCAGAAGAAGCAACAACTACAGGAGACAAAACTAGCCCAAATTGAGGACTTCCATTGGTAACAATATTTGAGGATCAAGAATTTTCAAGTCTGTGCCCTGGATGAAGACTATGTGTCCTGCCTAATGTAAATCAACTGAAGCTTAGTGACCCTACAGAAGCCAACACCTTTGTAGCAGCTTTAGATCTTACCTTCTTACCATCGACCCTTTCTACCCAGCGGGAACAAAACCAGCATTTGCTTTGATGAAAAATCACCAACATTACCGGACCTATATGTATTTGCCATTGCCAATTAGTTTATATCTACTGTCAATCTTTTATTTCTGTTTTCTAGGTTGGCCGCTTCTACAGGGGTACCTACCCCTTCCCAAAAATAAGCATTTCATTTAGCTTTGGAAGCATTATACTAAGACACGGTATGAGGGTTGCTTAAGTTGAGCTTGAAAGAAAGCCTTTACTTTACTGAGCTCACCAACTGTTTAAAATGTAGTATGTTTAGATATTGTCTGTTACTATTCTTGATGTGCCTATTTAGGATTATTGTTTTACTGCCAATTCACAGTATGTCTTGAGCTAAAAATGGAAGCCTTCTCATCATATTGACCATCTGTTTAAAATGCAGTACCTCTTCAATACAATAAAATTACAAGTTGGAGGCGAAATTATAATGAGTTTTTCTGGATTGAGCCCTGGACATTAATATAAATCTGACACATAATTCGTGATATGATGCCATTCTGAACATTTAGCGAAACCGACACTTTGAATAAATTTGTACATTTCAACTTACTTCATGAGAAGGAGACTTGAGTTCTCTTGGGCTGAGATTCTTTTCTTGAGGACTAGCTTGTGTTTCTGACGAGCTGGCCGAAACAGGCGAACAGTTGGAAGAAGGAATTGGCGAGTCGTCCTCTTCAGATGAGTCACTAACCTCTTTTAATAAACTTTTTGAGCACAGATTTGTTGCATCTTTATCAGGAGATACCATTTTAATATATTGGGAATCAGGTAATTCCTGTAGATTTACAGGTGGTGATAAAACAGTAAGAGTGCCTGGTAGTTCAGTACTTTCCCCTTGCTCCAGAGCATTCACAGAAACATTGCATTTCTCAGTCTGTGTGGATGGAGTTGGGCTGGATGGGTTGTTTTGTGGAGTAGTTCCATTTGCTAGCAGTGTTCTGGACTCCTCAACTATACAGCTCTGCTCATTAACACCACTGTTTGAGTCATCTGTTAGGTCAATTGTTATGGGGCATTGCACCAGGCTTACTTTTAAAGTTTTTTTAAGATAGTTGTCCAGAGGCCCCTTGCCATTAATAGCTTTTGGGAACTGATGCACTGCCTCTGTCTCTGCATCACAGTTATTCTCCAAGTCTTCCATAGAGGTGTCACACAGATGCAGGCTGGTTGGAGGGGAATCCTTTTGTGTTATCTTTACTTTCTTTCCTTCTAATAATTCATCCTTTTCTTTGGGAGCAGGATTTAAGCGCTTGAAGGGAAGTCGAGCTAAAATAAAAAGTACTGTTAGAAAGTTCTTTAGTTTACAGTCTAAGATTACATTTAATAGTCTATTGATAATTATCTGCATAAAAAGGTCTTCATCTTAACCCCTTAAGGACTAAGCCAAATTTACAGGTTTTGATCAAAATTTGAATTTGACTATAGGTCTCTTCAACCATAGTGCACCCTCACTTATATAATTTTATTCAGGAGAAATAGGGCTTTCAATTCACATCAAATATTTAGATATGAAACAATTAGATATGAATATAAAAAGTGAGAAATTAAGAATTTTTTTTTTTAGTTCTGCATGACATTAACTGAATGTCACAATACTGTTAAGCTTTTACGGCAATAAAATGCACATCTGTATTCAGCGATGTCTCACGTGTAAAACAGTACCCCCTATGTACATGTTTTATTGTGTTTTTGGAAAGTTAAAAGGTCAAATATAGCATGTTACATTTTTCAGTTATTTCCCATTGAAATTAGTCAGATTGGTTACGTTGCCTTTGAGACTGTATGGTAGCCCAGGAATGAGAGTTACCCCCATGATGGCATACCATTTGCAATAGTAGACAACCCAAAGTATTGAAAATTGAGTATGTCCAGTCTTTTTAGTAGCCACTTGGTCACAAACACTGGCCAAAGTTAGCGTTCATATTTGTGTGAAAAAGGCAAAAATACAATCTGAACGCTAATTCGGGCCAGTGTGTGGCTACTAAAAAAAGACTGTCCATACCCCATCTGCAATACTTTGGTTTGTCTACTTTTGCAAATGGTATGCCATCATGGGGGTAATTCTCATTCCTGGGCTACCATACGTCACAAAGGCAATGTAACCAATCTGGCAAATTTCAATGTGAAAAAACTGAAACAAGCCTTATATTTGACTCTCTACCTTTTGAAAACACCATAAAACCTGTACATGAGTACGGTTATACTCAGGAGACTTCGCTGAACACAAATATTAGTGTTTCAAAACAGTCAGTGAGAGTGAGCGCGTGTGAGTAACGTTCAGCTAAATGTAGGTGCTGCACATTGTGGATTAAGATAGACATTTTAGTGGCCATCTTAGTGATAGCCACTTCAATGTAAAAGACAGCTTTTACATTGAAAAGTCTACAGGGACAGAGTATACACACTAAAACCATTACATTAAGTTGTAGTGGTTCTGGTGACTATAGTGTTCCCCTGATTTAAATTATATTTCTATTTATGAAATAAACTTTCATATCAGTGAAAATACTTTGCAGGTTTATGAAATTTAAAGGAATGCACCCCAGTCTTCAAATATATTAAAGAGACAATGTACTGGCTTTGGTGTATAGATGCTTCCCATTAACTCTGAAAAATATGTTTCTTAAAAACAGCAATGTTTATCTTTGGCAGAAAAATACATCTAGCCATTTTCTCCTTAAGGCTTTCAGTTTTCAAGTCATCACATTCAGCAAAATCATCCACAGCATGATGGTGCAAAACACCACTAATCCGCATACAGAAGCACTCGAGTTAATGCTTCCATGAGAAATATCAGACTGGAGGATTTGACAAGAGCTATTCAATCTTGATAACCTCATCATGGGGGAAGTGAATGCTGCAAGGACACCTTCCTGGCACTAGACTACAGGTACTTTTAAAGGTGGAGTACCATTTTTTATTATTGTCTTTGAGGGGCTGCTTTTCTATCCTCTCGGGAGAACTCTCGAACCCGTTTTCATTTTGGAAGCTGGTTGAGTACCATTCAGCATGAAGCAATGATTATCTACTACAATTTGGGTATCCCTACCAAATCTGCACCCTACGACCAGATGGATGTAGTATTCGTTCAAAATCAAAACATTTGTATCTGCATCCTACATAAGGTATATGATCAGAACATAATTCAGTTCAGATTTTGTTTTGGAATTGGCATTTTTTGACACAAAAGGATGCACACATTTGCAAGTTCTCCTTCACTTACTTTTTACAAACAAAATCTACTCAAGGTGCTGCTAGCAGGCAACTCGTTAAGCCCCAGCAGTTGTGAGCTCTAAGAAAATGCACAGGTTTTTTTTTATTTATTTTTTTTAATTCTCATTGTGTTGAACTACAGATCAAGTTAGACATTTAAGCTCATTAGGTTTTCACACTTTAACAGGAAAAAGTGACTTTTGGGACTATAAGGTCCCTGCCATTATAGTGACCTTTTAATGTAAGGCACCTACTCACACTTATCACTTTGATTTAATAAGTGTGAAATTTAACAAGATGTGGTTGATAAAAGGAGAGAAAAATTCTTATCTTCCTAGCAGTACTTTATGGGAGTGATCCCAGTATGTATACTATATCCAACAATTTCAGACAACTGAGCAGGACATAACCAGGCTTTGCAAAAACAATGAGTATTGTACCTTGCACCATTTTCTTCGAAGCAGCTCTGGATGAGGACTTCATGACTGCAAAGAGGACATAAATAAAAGTTATATTGTGATTCAGTTTATGTATAAATAACTACTAGAGATGTAAAGAAACAGTCTCACCACAATGTTCAATAAAAGTTAGCAAATAGAGTATACATAAATTAACAGTGCTTCAATTTCAGCTCATTTTAAAGGGTCACTGTAGGCACTAACTGCTTCACCTCACTGAAATAGCGTTGAGTCCCCTGGCACTATCCTTCCATTCAGCATTAAAATGTTTTAATGCTAAACCAGAATCCCCAGAAGTCCAACACCTCTATGTTGCATGTGCTAAACAGGAAGCATTAGCCTGAACAGTAGCTGTGATTAGCTGTGTCAGCTGACAGCTTTCAGCCTATCACAATGCCCATTGCTGATGGGCATTGGTATGGCTCAAAAGAGGGGCATAAATATCTGCCTTAGTTGAGGACCAGGAACCATCATTCAATGTTAAAACTGCTTGACAATGGTTTATCACTGAAAAATGGGACAGCCCCAACAGAATCCAATCACGAAAACCGATTCAATCAAATAAAACTGCTATAGTGCACCTTTAAATGGTTACTCCAAGCACCTATATCACTTCAGCTATTGTAAGTGGTAATAGTACCTGGATTCTGTATGCGCAGCATTTCACTATGTAGTGTTGCACATACAGAATTTAACTCTTGCTGCAGGAGGTGTAACTCTAGATGCCGGAAAAGTTCTGGGCTGGTTAATGACAATTCTGTGCATGTCCACACCCAGGGTTTGGGAAAGTATACAATATTTGCAATGCATTGCTACATTTAGTATGAAGTTTGTGTCATATTTGCTTAAAAATTCAAATTTAGATTTACAAGAAGCTGGACTCCCACCGGCAAAATGCAATGAAGTCCAGTGTCATTTCACAGAGTCAAACAACGTGAAAGGCCAGAAGCACTGACAAGTAGACGGCCACTATAGGCAGGCTTAAAAGGGACACTATAGTCACCAGAACAATTACAGCTTATTGAATTTGTTCTGGTGAGTAGAATCATTAACTTCAGGCTTTTTGCTGTAAACACTCTTTTCAGAGAAAATGTAGTGTTTACATTACAGTCTAGTGAACTTCACTGGCCACTCCTCAGATAGCTGTTAGAGATCCTTACTGGGTCATGGCTGCCTAAAATGCATCCAAACATTCAGTGTTTCCTCCCTCTGCAAGAAGACACTGACCTTTCCCCAGAGATTCATTGATTCAATTCATCTCTATGAGGAGATGCTGATTGGTCAGGGCTGTGTTTGAATCATATTGGCTCCTCCCCTGATCTGCCTCCTTGTCACTCTCAGCCAATCCTATGGCGAAGCATTGTGATTGGATCAGGCTACCACTTCTGATGTCAGCAGACTGTCTTTTTTAGGCAAACAGCATGCAGATCCACAGCTTTTGGCTTGAATACAGTAAGATTTTGCTATATTTATGGAGGCATGAGGGGCCCAAGGGGGCTAGATGGTGGTTTTACCACTATAGGGTCAGGAATACAGGAATATTTTGATAAATATGTGCTGTGGTTCTTGCCATTATCTCCCTTCTCTTCACTCAGTTATTCAGTGTTATCACCCTAACAAGGGTTTGATGCTCCACGAGTAGTGTGGTCCAACCAGGAGGTGCAAATTAGTGCCTTTTATCGCTACTGTCAATTTCAATCCTGTAAATTTAATCGACCTTATCCATCCACTGCTGGAGTGGTGGTGCAGACTGTTTATTCCACATAGGCAAGGGTTGGAAAGGTAGGATAGGACAGTCTTCCCATAAATTACAATGTACCCTCTAGAATGTAAGCTCATTGAGCAGGGCCCTCCACCTCTCTGTTCCTGTACGTCGAGTTGTCGGATTACAATTAAATGTCTGTTAGTCCACCCTTTGTACAGCGCTACGGAATCTGATGGCGCTATATAAATAAAATAGTAATATACAAAAACTGCAGCCAGCAAGCTTCCATAGTCCCCTCACAAGTCAACATATAGATGGCATTGAAATTCTAAAGAGTTAATAAGGTTACCAACGTCCAACTGCGAGGTACCAGCCCATATAACCCTTCCTTTCTACACTCACATGCGAACGCTAACCGGACTCCCACGCCTATCATAAGAGGCCTGATGGGGAAGACCCTATCCACAGATGAGAACCCTCAATTGTGTGCACCTACTGTTTATTCATGCATTGTTACTGTTTTTTATTCAATGTCCTGTTACCCTTTTTAACCTTACCACAGTATACCACACTAAGCCTGCATGTGTACAATAGGAAACATGTGCAACACAAACATCGAGCTACTGATACATGCACGCTCTCCCAGCATCAAGCAATCTTTAGCTGCAGTTATGTTAGCTTGCACACTCTGATATAGCAGTTACAGACACCGCCTGACTGTGCCATAGTTCTCTCATATCATAATCAGAAGTTAGGAGTAGCAGTGTAGAGAGATTTTTTTTAGGCTGGGACAGCAGACAGAGCACGATAAAAACTACCTTTTCAGAGAACACCTCTATTAGCAGTCGGCCACTAGATGTGCTTCCTAGTCCACTATGCACAGCACCTATGTTCAGCGTCTCCCCGCCCTGCATGGATGTTGCTAGACAAAGACGCATTGATTCAATGCATCTGAGGAAATGCTGATTGGCACAGCATGGCATTTTGTTGTGAATGCTCAATAGCCTCCCAATGCTTTCCTATGGGAAAGCATTGAATTGGCTGAGATCATCAGGACAGAAAATAGCCATGGAGTCAAGGTAAAAACTCCTTTCAAAATGGCAGAACTGCTTTCGCTAGCCTTCTCTATCTCGACCTCTATATTTCTGCCTCTTCAGAAAAAGGGCAGTGTTTACATTGTCGCATAGGGTCACCTTTAAAGGCTGACACATCTGCATACACTGCAGCACCCATTGAAGAGGAAAGGCAAGATTCACTTATCTGAATACCTCTACCCATCATCATTTTCTTTTTTCAGTTCCATGTGGCTTCACTAGCCACAAAACTGTCTTTTGGGACCTATGGAGGATGATATGACACCTGTTCTATGTAATGATTCAGAACGAGGAGGCACAGGTTCCACTGCCACATTTTGCCAAAAATCTTGTGGGACACTAAGCAAAAAATATATATTTTTAAATCATGACATTTTAGCTTAAAGAAGTTAGTTTGGTATATAGATCGTGTCCCAGTAGCCTCACTGCTCTAGATATCTCCTGGCAATTTGGTTACTTTTGAACTTCTTATCTCCTGCTCTGTTAAGTGAACTTTATTCACACACAGGAGGCTGATGCATGCACAAGCAGGAAATCAACCCAGCCACACATACATTCTGAATTAAATACACTGTAAAATAAGGGAAGTATAACAATAAAACCTCTATAGATGGGAGCGTGTAGGGAGACTGTGCAGGTCACAGACAGAAGGTGCAGCTAGGTCTGCATAAACAATGATTTAAAGAGACTAGATACCAAACGAATAATGCAACTTGCAATTGTTACTGTTGGAGATGCACCGAAATTAAAATTCAGGATGCCCTTGGCCGAAAAAGACCCCCCCCCCCTCCCTCCCCCAATGCAATAGATCAATCTGGAAGGTAGACAAGGGGTTAAAACAAAATACATTCGAGGGAGCCATGGGAAACTGGAGGTAAGACCAAAAGGTACTAGTCTAGTGAAGTCACTAGACTAGACAAAGTTACTAGTCATAAACTAGTATCTTTGGTCTTACCTCCAGTTACCCCTGGCTACCTCCAACGTATTTTATGTTTTAACACCTTGTCTACCCTCAAGATTGATCTATTGTCTGTATACAAGGGGACAGTTTGTGCTAAAAAAAATAAGCCTTTTTAATATAGCTCACGTACGAGTTTTTAAGCACTACTTTGGAGGTCTTCTATGGATATTTAGAGCTGTAACTTGGTAGAGGAATAGCCTTATAAGGCTAGTACTTATTTTTTGCACTTGAGGTATATGTTCTGTGATCATACTGTGTATTTCAAGTGGATTATCTGTCACAGACAGACAGGAGTGAGCAAAACCAGCTTGTAATGCATATCCCCTGGCAGAAGCAGTTCCGGTGTACTAGATTCTGATTGGCCGCTCTAGTAGTTCCTGGTCTGAGGGTCTGTCGGTAAAGATGATGGCAGTAAGCGTACAGTGGCCTGACCAGAGGTAGAGAAGGAGAGGCGCCTGGAGCTAGTACTCCAGGGTCCGGCTAAGGATGACAAGCTGCAGGTATGTGGCGTGACCTCAACTACCTGGAGGTCAGCGGGTGCTCGGAGCTGCGGAAGCTGTCAGACAGTCTGGGCCTCCTCTCGATTGTGCAGAGTCTTTTTCGGTCAATATGGGTCAATTTTCAGCCAAAGATTTTGGTAACAGAAATTTCTGTGCATCCCTAGTTACTGTGCCAGGAGCCCCTGGGTGTTGTCCACCATTAGCCCAGTAGCCATTGCATTGTCAAGACCTTGATGATAAATACCAATACAGTGCGATATAATGGTTATGATGCCTAGAGTGTTCGTTTAAAGGGTACTTCTTATACTACCTATAACTTATGCAGTTTTAAAAGAGCATAACATTTCTATGAATTGTTAGCAAATGTATTGATTTGAAGAAAAAAAAAATAATCATTTAAACATGTGTCTTTCTCCCACATCAGTCAATTTTTCAGCACAGAAAAGATCTCTTACAGGCTGTGTAGTTGCTATAGTAACACCCTAGCAAATGTTGCTAGCACTAGCTAGGGAGTATGGGAATGATGTCGGCATCACAGAAGTGGCTTGCCTTGCATGTGGAAGTATCCCCAAGCAAGAAACGAAGTGGAGCACAGACAAATTGGAGGTGGGTATTAGAGGAGAGGAATACCTACAAAAGGTGAGAACATGGCGGTGCTTGATCGAAGGTGCGGCAAGTTAAAACCTCTGATATATGATGTATTAATAGCATTTAGGGATGATTTATGTTGAAGCGAACCAGTTATGACAGGTTCACTAAAGGCATTATGATCACAAAAAAAAAAAAAAATATATGATCTATTGAAATTTATTTTTTAGATTAGAGTTGTTAAACAGGAACTCTCCACCTGCTACCAAAGAGTCTACAGAAGTTACTAAGAAGTTGTAAAACGTGGCACGCAGAGGGCGCAAAAGCTGCACAAACTCCACATATGATGTGGCCACATGAAAGCACAGTCCAATAATTTACTTATGTCACTTTACATTACCATTAATTTGCACTTATAAGAAATTGACGCTTTGACATGAACTCCATTCCAAAGAGCTACAGAAAGACTACAGACAGTATAATTAAAAAAAAAATAAAAAATAAAAAATTCAGGTGGCCCTGCTCGTGAGCTGAAAAACTGTCATTACAAGGACATTACTGCCACCATAACAACTAAATCTAAATTAAGTTCGGGAATCAGGAAGCCCCCGGTGGAATTCAAATCATAAGGGGTAAAGCGTTCTCAAACAGTCTAACCCCAAAGTTTGCATCCAGCGCCGATTCGATCTCCTAAGGGGAAATTGGGCTTCAGAATCTCAGTTAGAGAAAGCGCAGTCACTGATTGGCTACAGTGGTCAGCTGACACCAAGTCAATCAGCAGCTCCCTAGCAAAAGTTTTTTTTGTTTTTAAACAAATGGCAAATTACTGATTGGCATAGCTGCTGCTCCCCTGCCCACTAACACTCCGCACTTCCAGTAATTTAGGTTTGGGTGTAGGATGCTGCCAGGGTGACCTGCAGATCGGCCCTGTAGGCAACCTTTGGGATTAAATTGTTTAAGAACGGTTTAACCCCCTAAGGTAGGAGTGCTACTGGGAGCCTCCAGTCACCATAACTTAATTTAGATGAAGTGGTTATGGTGACCGAAGTATTCCTTTAGTTCACTTAATAAGCAGAGTGGGAAGAGGAGAAAGCATGGTGAGAGGTAGGGGAAGCAAGAAAGATGTCTTCCCAGAAACAACAAGGAGGATATCTGCAAATGTCACTTGGGATAATTTGGCAATTTCTGGACATGACATTGAGTGAGAGGTGAAATAGTTGCTCTGATGGAGTGAAACAGTAAAAAAAAAAAATGGGATTCATCCAGCACAAACAAGACCTAGCAGTGAGCAATACTGCTGAGTGTCTGGGTTGGACAGGACACAGAGCCTGGCGGGATAAAGTGCTCCTGAACTGCTTAACAGCAAGGTGATATGGGGGAGCCAGGGTACATTACCACAGCGCTGCTTTACGGCAAGGTGATATGGGGGAGCCAGGGTACGTTACCACAGCGCTGCTTTACGGCAAGGTGATATGGGGGAGCCAGGGTACGTTACCACAGCACTGCTTTACGGCAAGGTGATATGGGGGAGCCAGGGTACGTTACCACAGCGCTGCTTTACAGCAAGGTGATATGGGGGAGCCAGGGTACATTACCACAGCACTGCTTTATGGCAAGGTGATATGGGGGAGCCAGGGTACATTACCACAGCACTGCTTTACGGCAAGATGATTATGGGGGGGCTAGGTGTACATTACCACAGCACTGCTTTACGGCAAGATGATTATTAGGGGGCTAGGTGTACATTACCACAACACTGCTTTACAGCAAGATGATATGGGGGGCTGGGGGTACATTACCACAGCACTGCTTTACGGCAAGATGATATGGGGGGCTGGGGGTACATTACCACAACACTGCTTTACGGCAAGATGATATGGGGGAGCCAGGGTACATAACCACAGCACTGCTTTACGGCAAGGTGATATGGGAGAGCCAGGGTACATAACCACAGCACTGCTTTACGGCAAGGTGATATGGGGGAGCCAGGGTACATTACCACAGCACTGCTTTACAGCAAGATGATTATGGGGGGGCTAGGTGTACATTACCACAACACTGCTTTACAGCAAGGTGATATGGGGGAGCCAGGGTACATTACCACAGCACTGCTTTACGGCAAGATGATATGGGGGGCTGGGGGTACCTTACTACAACACTGCTTTACGGCAAGATGATATGGGGGTACATTACCACAGCACTTCTTTACGGCAAGGTGATTATGGGGAGCCGGGGGACATTACCACAGCACTGCTTTACGGCAAGGTGATATGGGGGAGCCAGGGTACATTACCACAGCACTGCTTTATGGCAAGGTGATATGGGGGAGCCAGGGTACATTACCACAGCACTGCTTTACGGCAAGATGATTATGGGGGGATGGGGGTACATTACCACAGCACTGCTTTACGGCAAGATGATTATTGGGGGGCTAGGTGTACATTACCACAACACTGCTTTACAGCAAGGTGATATGGGGGAGCCAGGGTACATTACCACAGCACTGCTTTACGGCAAGATGATATGTGGGGCTAGGGGTACATTACTACAACACTGCTTTACGGCAAGATGATATGGGGGTACATTACCACAGCACTTCTTTTACGGCAAGGTTATTATGGGGAGCCGGGGTACATTACCACAGCACTGCTTTACGGCAAGATGGTATGGGGGGCTGGGGGTACATTACCACAACACTGCTTTACGGCAAGGTGATTATGGAGGGTTGGGGGTACATTACCACAGCACTGCTTTACGGCAAGATGATATGGGGGTACATTACCACAGCACTTCTTTACGGCAAGGTGATTATTGGGGGGCTAGGTGTACATTACCACAACACTGCTTTACAGCAAGGTGATATGGGGGAGCCAGGGTACATTACCACAGCACTGCTTTACGGCAAGGTGATATGGGAGAGCCAGGGTACATTACCACAGCACTGCTTTACGGCAAGATGATATGGGGGTACATTACCACAGCACTGCTTTACGGCAAGATGATATGGGGGTACATTACCACAGCACTGCTTTACGGCAAGATGATATGGGGGTACATTACCACAGCACTGCTTTACGGCAAGATGATATGGGGGTACATTACCACAGCACTTCTTTAGGGCAAGTGATTATGGGGAGCCGGGGTACATTACCACAGCACTGCTTTACGGCAAAGTGATTATGGGGGGCTGGGGGTACATTACCACAGCACTGCTTTACGGCAAAGTGATTATGGGGGGCTGGGGGTACATTACCACAGCACTGCTTTACGGCAAAGTGATTATGGGGGGCTGGGGGTACATTACCACAGCACTGCTTTACGGCACGGTGATATGGGGGAGCCGGGCGGTTTAGGGGGTACCTCACCATAGCTTCACCAGGCTGCAGCATAGAGGGAGATGGAGTTTATAGAGGGTGACCGGATTAATGATTGGAGACCCCCTGCCTGTCCATCTCCGGCCCCCCCGGTCAGTGCAGTCCGTCACGGTGTATGTTAGTAGGTTGGCGAGACGTTACGCTGCTCACCTGCCGGGCTGCCGGTTTTCCTGTCGGTAGCTGCTCCAGGTCCTCCCTTCCCCGGCATCTCAGCGGCCCCGGCACACGGACGATCTGTGCTTCCCGCCTCCTCCGTGCATGCAGGGGAACCGTCTAGCTCCCGGTGCACAGGGGGGTCCGCCGCTCAGCCCGCGCGTTCGACAGCTCGCGCTTGTATTTGGCGGGAAGGAGTCAGCCGCCGACCGCCCTGCCTTCCGATTGGCCGGATCCCTCACGTGGCAAAAGGGGAACCTGCGCGACCAATCCAGCGGCTGTTCCACGCCCACTCCTGACGTGCAGGCGGTGACGTCACTGACCGGGCAAAGTTGTGCTGTCTCTTAGCCGGTGGCCCCTGGCAGCGGCATGTTTGTTATGGGCAGAAATCACAGCACTACTGTTTGGGTAGCCTGTCCTAGAGAACTTTAATACACGAATTCTTTTTTTTTTTTTTTTAATTTTATTTCATGACCTGGGATATTTTCAGGGTTATTCACTAAAGTCCAAATTTTCCAACAGCACTAAATCAGGCAAAACCGTTCGGCTGCGTACGGGGGCCGTTTCGGACAGCAAAATCCGCACAGCGTTCACGCTATTTAACAATGTCTGGATTTCGCGATCGAGCAATGAATGTGGATTTCAGCCGGACCAAACGCTGCTAGTCCGCTGAAATCCGTACACGGGTGCTTAAAATTCTTCCCCGAATTTAAAAAAAATATATATATGTTTCCGCTAGATGCCAGGAGGCAAATATTTGATAAAACCGTTGGTGCTGGAATGGTTAACCATGTGGCGGTTGGCCAATGTTTGTTAGCCACCCGCCACGTTAAAGTAAAAATAAATAAATAGGGAGTCAATATTACAATAACAGAGGTTTCTAAACTCCCTTCGTCCAGGTGGGGGCATATCTACTAAACATTGGGGTGGGTTTCGTTAAATAACAGGGGGTTCTAATCCTCCCCCCCATACACCCACCAATGGGGATTGGGTGCGGGACTTTAAATACAGAGCTAGCCAGTAAAATGTATACATATTTCAGCAAAAGAAAACCTGTATAAATATTTTAATACTAAATTCATTCAGGCATCATGAGATGAATACAAGTTACCATTGACCTCTCCAAATACTAGAGATGCTCAAAGTGGTTGCCATTAGCGTCCAGACACTATTTAGTATGGAGACCTGCTGCTCGGGCCACTTTAAAATGGTCTTAAATTTATGGCCATCCATAAACGACAACAATGCCTCGGCCATTTTGTTTGACCGTCCCAGGTTACATGTTGACGCAAGAGCAGTGTTAATTGTGTCGAAAAACAATTCAGGTGACTAAAATACAACTAAAACTAAAATGGCTTTTTATCCAAAAGACAATGACTAAAACTAACACTGTTCTAGAGTCATGTGGTTAAAAACATCATACTACACATTGCTATCTTAATTCAATACAACTTTGAAAAAAAGTATATAGATATCCTCTGTGATATTGTGTATACATTTTTCTGGCTAGCGCTATATTGTGGTAGAGGGATCACTGATCACCCCCATGCCCCACCAGCCTTGAAGCGCATCTGCACTGAGCCCTCGCAAAGATGGGTCTGTTTATTGTTGCACCAGTTTTTTATTTATTTTTTTGAGAATTGTGTTTTTGTTTTTTTCAGCAATTGCATTGTGCATTATGGATTTTATCTTTGGCTTTTTGAGGGCTGAAGAAAAGAACACTTAGAAGAAAGAAGACTCCCGATAGCAAGTATAATTTTAAAATTTTCCGGTGTTAGTTTTAATGGCCCCCTCACTGTTATTATGGCGAGGGGCAGTAGGTAGAGTTAATTTGTTTGAAGGAGAGTGGGTGATGGATAGGGTTTGGTGACCCCTAGCCACCTGAGGGAGGGGCAATGGCACGATTATAAATAATATAATAATAATAATTAAGGACCACCACATGCCGCGCATGGGTGAAAGGGTCACTAGGTCCCCATCTTGTATATTATATTAGAGTCTTGACCCACCAGCTATTGGTGAGCCTCAGTATACACACTAGATCCCCACGCCCATTTATATTATTATTAAAGCCCTCACCCACCACCTGGGTAGTAAGCTCTAACTGTAAAGTGTGTCTGAGATGTGTGTGTGTGTCAGGGATGTTCTGTGTGTAGATGAGATGTGTTTGTGTGTCAGGGTTGTAGTGTGTGTGTCAGTGATGTTGTGTGTTGCAGTGTGTGTGATTGTGTTGGGCCTGTATTGTGTGTATGCTAGGGTGAGAACGGTGCAATTTGATAATTGAATAAATCTAAATATATATATATATATTTTTTTTTTTCTTTTAATTAATTATAAATAAAGGTAAGTTTTATGTACCCCCCCCCCTCCCTTCTTCTTACTTTAGGGTGGGGGGGGGAGCACTGAAAGGGCCCTGGTGGTCCAATGGAGACTGCAGACCTGCACCTCTGCTGGATGCAAGGCCAAGATCCCTGTTCTCACGAGCTCTGGCACTGCCGTGTTGGAGCATCGCCGTGGTAACCTGCAGCAACACTCCGAACTGCGGAGCCTGCGGGAGGATTACTATGCACGCGGCAGAGGTGTAGAGTGCAGTCTCACTTACCCAGCCCCTCTGCTGCCGTAAATATACAAACGTTGATTGGGTGCGTGCTCGCACTGCAAGGGCCATTAGAAGAGATCCTGGCCATCCGACTGGCCCAATGGCCAGTCTGGGCCTGCAAACTTCTACAAAAATGTTTAAGTGCCAGGCCTCTCACCCAAGTCATATACCTTGTATCAAAAACTCCTGTATGACTCTGCCAGAGCTTTTATGATCTTTCATTGGGTCTGTTTCTCCTCTGGATTCTAGGAAGCCTTTGGCGCTGTGCGCTAACAAAAGATGCAAAATATGAATAGTGTTAACATTGGCAGCCCGGAATTGGGCTGCCGATGTCTCGTGTGCTGGGGATTTAACTAGCCCCTGGCACATGATTATAAATATCTCTGTATTTACAGTGTTTCAAGAAGAAAGACTGCACATATTGACTCCTACCACCATGACCACTTCAGATCGCTGAAGTGGTCATGGTGGTTGGAGTAATCCTTTAAGGCTATAGCAGATACAAGTATATACACTGAACAAAATTATAAACGCCCCCATTTTTCATGAGCTGAACTCAAAGATCTAAGACTTTTTCTATGTATACAAAAGGCCTATTATATTGTTTACAAATCCGTCTAAATCTGTGTTAGTGAGCACTTCTCCTTTGCCGAAATAATCCATCCACCTCACAGGTGTGGCATATCAAGATGCTGATTAGACAGCATGATTATTGCAAAGGTGTGCCTTAGTTCAGCTCATGAAAAATGGGGGCAAAAACTAATGTGCTTCGATTATAATTTTGTTCAGTGTATGAAAAGGATTACATATAAAAAGACAACTGATAAAAAAAAAAGTACAGCTTAAAAAAAATAAATAATATTAAATAAAACAGATATTGAAAATGTGTTAAAAAAAATATATTCCAGGAGGGGCGGAGCCAGCTTCCGAGCAGGATAGACGCTCAGCACTACTGCTCCAGGCACCGAGCCGAAAAAACGTTGCCCAGAGACAATAAACACCGACTCACCGGCGCAATAAAGACAGAGCACGGACTCCCTGTGTCATGGGGAAGAAATCCAAAAAACAGAGGGCAGATCCGAGCACAGGATCTGGAGATATCGGAGCTTTTCTCCGCGCAGCCATGCGGCCGGCAAATCCCAAGATGGCGCCGGAGGCCTACACCTCCCAATCCTCGGACGAGGATAGCCACTACACTGAACACTCCATACTGAGCCAAGGGCGCCAGGCACCTCAGAGACCCCAGGATCAGGGAGACTCAGCACCCGCTACCAAAGCGGATATCAAAGCCCTGGTTAAAGAAATCAAGACCATGTTTCAGGCAGATATGGCACTGGTGAGGGAGGATATTGCTGTGCTAACAAACAGGGTGACAGCAGTGGAAGAGGGCACAAAAGGTACAACGCTGGCGCAAAATGCCACAGATGCTGCACTGAACGCCTTGCGCAAGCAGTGTGCCGACCAGCAAGCACAACTGGCGGACATGGAAGATAGGCACAAGACGCGGAACCTGAGGGTCCGGGGAGTACCGGAGACAATCTCTGGCACTGAACTGCCACATTTCTGCCGACGGCTTATAGCCACACTTCTGACACCACGGCAAGCGAAACAGGTAATGATCGATTCCTGCTTCAGGCTCTCCAGGGCGACCTCTACGCCACGAGAAGGAGCTAGCGACGTCCTGATAAAATTTGTGAGAGACTCTGACAGGGGAATACTTATGGGGGCCACAAGAGACACTCCCACAGTGCCATTTGAGGGGGCACAACTAGCTTTTTACAGAGACTATTCAAGACACACTATACAATGGAGGAAATCTTTCCGTCAGGTTACACAACTACTTCGGGATCAAGCCATCCCCTACAAGTGGGGCCCACGCAGACTACAGGCGGACAAGGCAGGCGTGACACACAAGCTATCACACACTGCTGAAATACCGGCATTCCTCAGAGCATTGGGCATACCGGCGCAGGCAGCACAAGAAACAGCTCGACCACCTTGGACTGTGGCAGATATCACCCCCTTCGTGCCCAGAGGAGAAGGCCTACAAGCTGCTACCCTGCCTACTTGATACAGCTGCAGCCATGCAAGTTCCACATATTTTTACCTGTTGTAGACAACAGGAGCACCAACTAGACCCGGGACTGTTAATCCCCCTCCTTAGATAACTTCCTCCCACTGGCTCCGTAAGCTACGGCTCAGGTTCTATGACCAAGTTAATCCCCCTCCCCCTTTTTATTGTATTTTGAGTGCACAAAGCAGAATTAATATTGCCTGTATCCCTCACACTCGATAAGCGACTACAGCCTTTTTACAAAATCATAGCATTAAGCCCTATTCACAGGTCCGGCAGGACCCATGCCATATACCCACACATTTAGACGTGCCTTAAGTCCACGCCACATATACCATGCCACTACTAAGCCTATGGGCACCCACAGCTCTGACCGAGCCCCACTAAGCAGGTCACCCTCCCTGATGTGCCATTTGTTAATGCCACACGTAAATCCACACAAACGAGCTTCAGGGCACTCACCGCCATAGGAAAGGAGCCCCCCCAACACATCACCACTTCCCCGCGAGAGTACAGGCGAGAGAGGGCTG